TTATCTTGGTTATAACCTGCTCTTCTGTAAAGCTGTACTGACACAACACTAGTTGTAAAAAGCGCTATACAAATAAATGTTGTTGTTGTTGTTGTTGTTGTTATGTCACATGTTGTATTTTAGTATGAAATTCTTAGTTTGTCACTAGCACAGTAAAAATCAATTCACTGCATAAGCACCGCTCTGGCAGTCAGGACATATGAAATGCAGGCCCCCAGCTTTTCCCTTTAAACATGTGCCACCAGATGTAAGCTGCTTGGGCACAAGAGGACCACCTTGAGAGAAGCTCTCCATTCACTTACATTCATTTCAGGCTGATTTCAGTACAATAACAAAGGCACACCTGTACTGTTTTAAATCCCTGTACGGGCCTGTCCTCTTCTACAGAGATGAGACTGCCTGTCATTTGATCTGCAGGCCTGTCAATCACTGAATAGCTTTAAAATAAACATTTATCCACGACAATAGAGAAAATAATGTGATAAAGCTGTAACTCGAAATACTGCACTATAATGTTTAAAGTGGAAGCTTTTCAATAATAAGCATAACAATAATACTAATAATAATAAATGTAGGTTCCTTCAACACGTTCGCTAAAAGCTCCTACTGACACTGCCGTTATTTGTTATTAGAACTGCATGCAGTAGATTTGCGTCATTTAGGCGCCTGCGCAGTCTGACGCTTTCCCGCCGTCCACTGCACAAGCCAATCAGGAAGAGACACGACTGGCCTAGCGGATCACTGGGTCCAGTTTATAAATACTGTCTATGACAAAACAGAACTGAGCAGTTAGTTTTCATCAACACTACACAGGCAACCCTGAAGTCTGTTAGGGGGCAGACTGCGACTCTTACCCTGCGTTCACACCGGCTGCGACTTTTCGCCTCTTGTCGCCCAAATCGCTGGTCGCTCATCGCCTGTGGGCGTTTCTGAACTCGAGCGGACCGTTGCTTGCCATGGTTTCACTGATGCCATGAACACATCAGATGCGTTCCCGCCAAAAATTAAAATCCTGGTGAGAAATCACTTTTGTGCTTATTTTTATTTAATGCCTGTGTCTGTGCAGTCAGTATGTGGGGAAAACAGTATTTGGTCTTTTTACTGTCTATTTGTGGCGAAAGAACCGCCGCCATTATTCCATCTCTCGTAGGAACAATTATCTAGGAACCAAATATGGAGCGCACCGTTTCACAGTGGCGGAGATCAAGCGCGTGCTACGCTGCTCAATTCCTATTGGTAATCGCCACGACGCTTCGCTCCTTATTTGCATAAAGTTAAACTCCGCTCTACTTCGCCGCGTCGCTGACTCCGCCCACTTCGCATGGCCAACGTTCGCGCCGCCTCCTGTCGCCGGAAATCGATTGCTTTCCTAGAAAATGAACGACGTCCGGCCGCTTTGTCGCATCGCGTCGCTGCCGGTGTGAATGCAGGGTTAGAGCTGCGCCTTTAGCTGGAGACAAAAATGTCAAAACAGTCTAAGACAAAGGGAAAAAGCCCCTCTACAGTTATGATTTCTAACAGCACCCTTAGTAGTAAATTAGGGCTAAGCAGTCTGTGATGTATCGAGGACCCCCAGAAGGCCTAGAGTGACACTTGTCAGACTCCATTTACCTGTACCAGTTTAGTGCTTTTAGCTGCAAGGGCGGAGAAACCTATTTAAATCAAGTTGATGGCGCTTTTACCGACTCAACGCAAATTGTTGCAAAGCTTATCGACAGTTAAAATAAAAAATAAAACTGTTGGAGTGCGCTTATTGATGTGACTGAGCTGGAGCTTTTAGGTGGCATAAGCAGCACACACAAATATATTTATACTATGGATAATGTGACAGTCAGTTCATAATTATGTTAGTAGATTATTCTGACACATTAGGACTTCAGTTCAGCTCCTGAAAGCCTAACCAGTGAGAGAGCTTTGCTGGCTGTATAGACACAAAAAGTGTCTGCGTCTGTCTGTCTTCCTCTTAATGTATTTATCTCCCTCAGTGCATCTCATCCTTGGTAATCGTTTTCAAACAGATCAATCACAACCTGCAGCGTGATATTCATTATTTATGATTCTAAAATCTTAGTCTAATGTTACGTGCTAGTGCTTAGTCATGTTGTAAGAGCATCACAGACATAACAATACTGAGTAAAAAAGCAAATTACATTGTTGTTTGTTTGTTCTTTGAAAGCAATTTTTGCTCTTAGGCCCATAAGATCCTACACCACATTTCAATGCAGGATTAGCATTAAAGTGTGTAGTACTATGATCTTTTAAGCAACGAAAGGAAGAAAACTGCTCCATAGTCAGTATTTAGATCATGAGTCAATGTTAATAAGTAAGTATTGTTCTAGCCGTGCAGCGCTGCCGTGGTTCTGATCGATTCATGTGTGGTTGTGCAAGGTTGGATGAGTACAATATATGGCCCTCAGTGAGTAGCAGGGATTTGGAGCTTAGTATTCAACGTGACTGCGGTTTTCATTTATACTTTTGAAGGAAGAGTGGACGAGGGAATCAAGTTGAAAGCAGTTGAGGTTCTCTTGACCGTATTGTGCTTCACATTCAAGGACGAATAATTCCATTACTGCTTCTATTGAACATGCCATGCTTTTACCCACAGGAGTTCAGGATTCAGAGAAGTGTGCGTGTATGTGTGTCAGAGAGAAAGAGAGAGAGACTTTGTCTGGTTCTACTAAAATTGTATCTTGAAAAAGAAGTGACCTTGAAAAAGTCCAACTTCATCTGAAAGGGAGTTTATGTGCACACACATATGAAATGCTCAACCATTACAATACAAAAACCCCCACAAAGTGGACTGTTCTAGGTGCCAAACAGCCTGCCGGACAGTTAGAGTGAGGTAAGGAGGCTGTTCTAAGCTGACGTGACGGTCATCCTGCAGTGGCAACAACTCTGTCGTTACAAACCATTTCCCCTGGGACTGTATGTGTTATGAAGGAAGGCTGTGGTGGCTGGAATTCCACGCTGCTGTGCACTGTAATCATGGCTTTGCGATAATTAGCTTCTCCATTTAGCTCACAGCCAGAGCACAGAGAGCCTTCCATTAACAAAGTCAACAACACACGTCGGTGCACTGTGTACAGGGAGGATCACTGTGTATGGCAATAGAGAAATCTTTGCTCTAACAGTTACCAAAGAGGAAAAGTGCACACTTAAACTCTTACAGCAATGTGACAAACGGTCCTACTCTACAGAAAGGCAAGAGGAGTGAAGGCCATATTTTTCTCCTCAAAGTCAAATGTAACTGAGCCTGGAGGCAGTATTTTTATATTTCAATTTTAGTTGTAGTTTGTATTCCATCCAATCGCATGGTGTCCTCTGACATCAACTCAATCAGTCTGCAAAGATAGGACTTAATACTGTGACAGAAGTTCATTCATTTAATTTCCAGTGAAAAAGGACATGAAGGACAAGTTATTCATTTGTCAGTGTCAGGAAGCAAGCAGAAAACATTTAATAGAAGATAACACACTCGCCTCAACAACTAAGTATAATGGCATTTCTCAGTATTTAGTGTGTCCATCCTTTGCCTTTATTACAGCTTCCAGTCCTTTCAGGAGGCTTGCTTTCAGTTTTTCAAAGAAATCTGTAGGGATTTTTTTTTCCACACCTTTAAAGTTCAGTCTTAGAAGTTGGTTGTATTTGTGCTGCTCACAATCCAAGTAATAACAAATACATTCAATGATGTTGAGGTTTCGACTCTGGAGTTGGCAAATTTTCTATTTTTTGTCTAGTTCCCTTTCTCAGTAGGAGCTTCCTGACATATCTCCTGAAACATGAATAACTTGTACTTCATTGTTGTTACAACTGGACATTAAATAATTGAAGGGTATCCTCAGACTTTCGCACAGTACTGCACATGTTTAGAAAATGACCATGCCTGCACAGTCTGTACCATTCAGAGCATAATCCAACACAAGGGCTACATGTACATAACCGACATAACCCATATGAAAATGGAAAATATGGCAATATGATGCTAATATATAAAAACATAAGTGAAATATTGCATTTTTAATGTAATTTTATGTTTGAATGGGGGATCCTGTTTGAACTGTCTGTGAACTTTAAATTCAGAAAAACAAGAAGTGCTCCCGAGTGGCACAACTGTCTAATCGTTGGCCCTATCATCAGATTGTGAGTTTGATCCCTGGCGATGCTACAATCAACCCGTGAGTGAGAGTCCTAGAGAGCACAATTGGCCTCAGTCTCTCTGGGTGGGTAGGATGGCCCTACTTCTCCCTCCATTACTCAGAACAGTGTTAGCCAGTGCAGGTATCTGTTAGCTGATGGAGCAGAACTGGCAGTTAGTGTTCTCCTCCGAGCATGTTTAGCTGTCCAATGACGCAATGCATTAGTGGCATTTTGAAAACGTGGTGCATGACTTGGAGGAAGCTTGTCCTAGCCTTCGCCCTTCTAACTCTGGTGTGAGTGGGAGAGACATAACTAATAGATATAATTGCCAAAAAAATGCCCCCCCACCCCTTCCAAAAAAAAAAGTGAATTACAGAGGGCAGAGTAGGTTACTTGGGGTTAATATGTATTCTGTGAAAATCACCACTGGCCCACATTTCTGGGCTTTATAGACATAAAATATGATTGTAACTAGGCCACCCAGTCAGAAACGTTTGGGAAAAACACAAGCATGCTTTCAGTGAAATGTGATTTGGTTCTAAAAGAACAAAGATCAGTTTTTGGTTGTAAGTGCTACTTGTAAACGCCATGTTTCCCAACACTGATAAAAGAAAGCGCTGTACACTCTTAAAAATAAAAGTGTGCTTTAGCATAAGGCCATGACCCTACAGAACGGTTGAATGGATTGTTTATTTTTGTAAATGAGACTAGCGTGAAGCTTTTTAACGCTTATAAACCGCCACATTATGTTTATTAATTTACATTTTTTTCAAGCCAAGAACCATTCAGGAATCTTTAGTTTTAAGAGTGTAGTGGTGTATCAAGCTTCAACTGAGAGAAGTACAGTCCAAAAATAAGCAATATTCACATACAGATTTTATTTGTTGCATTGTTTCAGAAACGGTCACATTTTGCAAGTGCATGTGGTTTCCTGAGGGCAGAACAAATCTGGCAGGTTAGAGATTCTGTACAGGTGGAGAAAATGCACAAATCCACAAAAATAAATAGATAAATAAATAAATTAATAATAAAAAATCAAAGCTTGGCAGAGAAATGTCATACTAATGAGCGTATGAGGATGACCAGAGGACAGTCTCCTGGGCCCAGCTTTCCTCAACAGCTGAGCATAGGTGGCATGTTTATTTCCATTTTGAATCACTAGTATTTACTGAAAATTCTCTCATTTACAGAGTAGCAGTCGAGTTTAAACATATCTGACAAGTAATTGATTTTTTACAATGGCTTTCTGAACAGCCTAATATTAAACAACCATGCTAATTGGGAACGAAATTGGGATCGCTGCCAAAAAAATGACCGATTTCAAGGGTAATGTTCCCGTTCTTTAATCTTTTTCCCCCTCATCAAAATTTCAGTCCACCTGTTCTAACCTGCTTCCATTTGCACAGGTTAAACACACCTGCTAGGGGTCGAGCGTGAGCAGCTGTCAACTGCTACTTTTATTACGGTTTCACTCTGTAACACGGAGGACGATCTGGTGTGACATTATTATCATTGTGTTATTAATTTCTCGATCCCAAAGTCACTTCTTTTCACTCACTAATATACAGCATCTTCTTCCAGCTGGATGCCCTTGTGAAAAAAGCTTTCTTTATATAGTCTGATAAGTATAATCTGTAGACCGAAACATTCGTGAAGGACTGCATCGGAACATTTTCTGCTCTAAAACTGACTCCAGGGACAGGCAATTACATTAGACCTGCTCAGTTGGCATTTGTAAGTACTGTATGCTTTCAATATCATTCTGTTCCATCATTCTAGCGTAAATCCCCTTGCAGCAATCCAGTAATAATACATCTGTATCTGTGGACAGTTCTGTCCTAAATCTCTTTATTTTTAGGCTGCTGTGCAGACTCTCTAGCATATCTGTAGCATATCTTTCTGTTTCCACGTCAGCAGGAGCTGAAGATTTTGTGCTTATCACCAAAGATGTTTTGTGCAAAATAAACAAGTATTCATAATAATAACTTAGCAAATATTCAGAGCATTTATGAAATAAAAAAAAGAATTGTGACACCACATTTTATCCATTCACAATGTTATAAAGACCATTTAAGAGACAAACCTAAAAATCTGATTTTGGTTTGCATAGCAAAGCAACATCAAATAAAAAAAATATTTACAAGAAATACACATCCCTCTTATTATTTGGATTTACATACTCGTGATTTTTCAGATTCATTCTTTCCAAAAAACAAGCAAAACAAACACATCCTTCTTTTTTTCCTTACCAAGTGATGCACGTTTTGTGACACAAAATGGGAGGGACATGTGACGTCTCGTCGTAAGGTAGACAAAAGCAAATCGCTAGTTGAAGACCACTGTGAGATGTGTGTCTGTACATTAGCTTCACAGTTCAGTGTTTGCCTCTCTCTGAGGTAAAGATTGCCTCATACAAGACCAGTGGGAGAAGCTCATTGGACATTGCACGGGTAACAATGAATCTCTCTTTCTCGTCCTTGCTTTCGTTCAGGTGGGCAGTGAGCAGTCTGGCTTCTCTCACACAGGGCACTCTGTAGCACAGACAAATAGAGAAGACAATTATTTTAGGACATTGTGACACGTGATACCCTTTATCCACATCAATCAAATGAAAATGAACCCTTGAGTCATGGTTTTCACTACCATTGACAAGTACATGGTGTAATCTGATTTGAATTGTTTCTCTCTTTTGTCAAAAGCGCAGAATTTAAACTTTCAATCAATATTGTTTGTGTTTGTAAGTAAAAGAAGAGATATAAGAAACTGAATTTGCTGAAAAGTTACTTTATCTTTTTTTCAGAAAGGACAAGTTTTTGAGATTTAAATAAATGAAGGAAAATCAGAAGTGCAGCTTAACGAAATGTAAACCAAATGAAAATGTACAGTACTTTTATGCTCCTGGAAAAATTATATTTGAAAAGTTATTTATCTGGGCAGTATGCATTTATGTCATCTGAAACACTAATTTTAGAATAAATACAAATAAGATCGCAACAATAACTGGTGGTTTTATATCTGTCAGTGCTTTTTCTAACTATTTCCAAACCTCTCCTGGTGGCAGCCCAGTATTAACTGTAGTTACCATCCAATACCTGCTTTGGCTAATCAGTACTTCATTAAGTTATGTTATGCTTATGGTGGAATTTAGCAAATCCATGTGATGGCTGGGGGTTCCAAACCAAACCTCTGTTCTTACAAGCTCATAAGATACCAACGAAGAAAGAAGAAAGTCCTGTTCCTGTATAGGCATTAATGCTTTAATGCTTTGTTTGCATCTACAAACTTGATATCCAAAGAAATTAGGACAGGAGATAAGATGCAAATAACAACAAGAAAGCAGTGATTTGTAGATCTACTTTGACCTCTATTTGAACAAAAACAGTACAAGGACAGGATATGTAATGGTTTATCTTATCGAATGTATTATTTTTTTGTAAACAAATGCTCATTCTGAAATTAATAGTTGCAACATGTTCCAAAAACAAGTGATGTAATGCTTGGGTATAAAAGGAGCATCCAAGAAATGCCAAAATTACAAGCAAAGAGGAGACATTGTGTTCTCTGTGCTAAAGAAGTAAAGGACGATCCAGACTGTTACCAGCGTAAAGTCAAAAACCAGGGTCTGTCATGGTTTAGGGGGACAACTTATTGTGTAACTTGGGGTATAATGGTACGTGTGTTCATGCCGAGCGGTCACAGTATAGACGTTATGGTTCGGGGCACACAGCTAGCGCTATATGATCCGACTTATCAAGGGTTCACAACTGCAGCAGCACCATAACTCATGAGTTTGACGTGCTTGAACAACGAAGCAGAGGTGGAAAGGCAGCTACTGAGGTAAAAAAGAGGGATTTTAAAAAGAACACAAGCTGAAATTAAAGAATGAAACAAGTCTTATCCCTATCCACAGCCTGCCATATTTTTGCCCCTGTAAAGAGATTCAGCACCAAGCCTTAGAAATTCTTCTGTCTTCTCTGCTCCTAACCACAAAATCAGAACTGAAGTTTCATATCACTGTACACATTAGCTAGTTAACCCACACTACAGGCTGTACCACTTCCTCAGGGGCGAAACTTGTGGTGTGAACTTAACTGTGACTGCTGTGTACCGTTACACCCCTAGTAACTAGCACATCTTTGACCACTGAACACATTTTGAAGCAACATATGCTGCCTTTTAGGAGCTGTATTTTTCAGAGATGTCCATGCTTTTTACAACATGTTACACAGCTGCGTGATCAGAGAGTGCAGGGCCTAAATTGGTCTCCCTGCAGTCTAGAGCTGAAATTGTGTCTGAGTTGAAAAGTTCAAAATATGACAATAAAGGCCCTGTATGGTTTGGCAAGCTGCCAACTGCCAGTTAAAGACCTATATGACAGAAAAATGGCAAAAAAAATCTGCTTTCAGAACCGATCAGTTTGTGTTTTCAGCCCCCAGACGATTATTAGTGATGTAACACAGTGATAAACACCTTTTTTTTGGAATGTGTTGCAGGAATCAAATTTTGAATGAGCAAATATTCACAAAAACGATGTTCATAAGGTCAAACATCAAATACTGTATTTTTGTATCATTTTCAGTTTTATAAAGGCCACACAAAATGTACTAATCACTCCTCTGTCTTTATTAGCATTTTTAACAAACCCAGTTTTTTTTGGGGGGGGGATTGGGTTTGTATTTTAATGTTATATGTATCTTTTACGGGCATTAACACACTTATTACCCAGAAAAATGTTTTTTGCTTAGGTGCCTAAGACTTTTGCTGTAAATCATTATGTAACTGTAATTAATGATGTAATTGTATAAAGTCATTTGTATAGCACAGCAAGACAACAGTAATATATCTTGATTTCTAAGGGTTAACTCCTTATTAGTTTTACAGTAGTTACTGAATAATTCACTGTAGTTACTGGATGATAAGCCTTAAGATTAATAAGTGAATAATATGTCTATAGTTTACGGGGTTTATAACTGAATGATAAACATACAGTTTAAGTAGTTAACTCACATAGGTGTCCGTAGTTGGGCTCCATGCTGGTGGACCCCCGTCCTGCAGAGTCTTGCTGCTCTGTACTGGACCTTTGGTGAGAGCCGCGTCCCAGCGTGCCTCTGGAGCTCCAGGGAGGCATGTGCTGCCGCTCAAGCGTAGACACCATGCACTCCTCAGGGGGCTCGGACCCCATCGAGCCCCAGGATGTATGCAGCCGTGCGCCCACGCTGTGAAGTGGCTCTGACGCAGGAGCTCGCACTGTAAGTAAATATACTGTTTTCATTAATAAAGCACTGTAGATCAGTGTATAGCAATACTGCTGCTCAATCATTCACCCTTTTTTTTACATTTCTTTCCCAAAAACAAGACTGTACCCTCTACAATTGTGACAAAGTTTTGAATCCACTCTTTCAACAGAATTTCTCCACTTGTTTCAGATGAGCGATCAGTTACACAAATCTTTTGTTACCGTGGTCATTAACTGAGGGCTAATCTAGATCTTCAGTTCCATAATCCTGTAAAAGGGTCTCACCGTCAGCAGTGCTGTCTCTCCTGCGGGGCTCGGTGGCCAGCGTCTCTGCCCTCTGTTTGTGAGGAGGATGTGACACCCTCTGATGGCCCAGGCTCTGAGTCCCCAGCAGCCCTCCGTCTACGGACCCGGAACTAGTTGGCTGGATTCGGTGGGAATAGGCGTGTCCTTTGGAGCACAAGATAAGTAAGAATAGCTCTGTCTGGAACAGTACACGGGATGCTTATTCACATAATTCTAACTAGAGTATAATAAATACGCAGCGCTGCAGAGTCCAGAGACAAGTGTACTGTGCCAAGTGCAGAGCGCTTGGTTCTTTGCCATGTTGCCTGTTCACACTGCTGCTGTGGTTGCCCCCTGTAGGACAGGACAGAGTGCTGCCTGTCTGCTGATATTAATGTAAAACTGACAAGGGCAAAGCAGGTCATATTTAGCCAAACTCAAGCCTGTCCTGCAAGGTCATTCTCTGGGGGTTGGGGGAGCAAGACAAAAAGACCTTTACGGTGATAGGATGACACAGTACCACAGCTCTTGCAAGCCAAGCAAGGCAGCAGATTACTGGTTGGGGAAACTACTAAATCATATCCATACAGACCATAGATCAGAGATGGCTGGTGTCAACGCAAGGAGTTCTACTGTTCCATCATCACCGTGAAACAGCACTGGAACCCAAGGTGGTCTCCTCTCCTCTCAGTGCTCCTTCAATGAATGTGCAATTTCCCAGATTTTTCCACTTTTACTGCACAAACAGCTATATTTTCCCTTTCTACAAAATAAACGTCTGATATCTGAGGTTTATTTCTTTCATTTTTCACTAAAGTTTATCACATAGCTAAAACTATTTAGTTAAAATCAGCTATATCAGCCAATGTCATACAGTGTCAGAAACCATACAAGCAACTCTACTTGAAATAACTTGGTCAAGGTCACTGAGACATGCAGTTTGCATGATATTAATTGGTGTACATAAATATCCATTATCTGTTAACTATATTGGCCTTGTACATCCTAACTGAAAATTAAAGAAGCAAATGGTGAACACCAAACATGCCCTGTCTTATTGACTACACATAGGGATTGACTACGAAGGAGAAAACTATATATTTAATTTTTTGTAAACTCCTTTAATTAAAATAATAATACTGATAAAACATGTCAGTCTAGTTTTAGATAAAGTCGTAGTCCTGAAGCCATATTGTAAAAACATTGAGTGGGGGGGAATGTTGTATCTGCAAGCACTACAGTCAGTGCTAACGGTGTCCCTCTGAATATGTTCTAAAACTAGACTGGTCTGGATCTGTCCTAAATCACTCTGACACTTATTAATCCGGAAGGGTGTATTTTGTTACTTTGTAGATAGGGTTATGGGAAGTGGCAGAAAGAAAGGTGGTGTTGGTGTCAGTGAGAAACCCTTCAATCATACATCCAGATTTGACTTGGAAATTAAAATGTTCAAATGAGATGTCAAGTAGAAATGATTGCTTCCATCTAACGTTAATGCATTTACTGAGTGGTACAGCTTTTATTTTTCTGATATGAATTTCGCTGTGATGGGAGAGAAACTGTTTTTGTTTCGCCCCCTTGTTAATTCATGGAAATCTGCTGAGAAAAGTATAATGTTTGGAGAAAATTGGAAATCAATAGCATTTTACTCAGAACTGCATGTTCAATTTCAGAGGAAAAAAAGAATTTCCACCAAGGCAATGGAGTGAAAAGACTGGGTGGAAACAGAAAATAATATAATGTGACTATAACTGCAAAATTTTATCCAGCAAGTGAACACAGCGTTGTTGTCCCCAAAGAATTAATGTAATTTCTTGGATGGTTGAGGTTTGTCGATGTGATCGTTTGAGGGTGTGATTCAATAGTCCTGTTCACCTGTGATCGCTCCCTCCATGCTTTCCAGACTGCGTCCAGGGGAGTAGTCTATTCCACACAGCTGCCGGGACAACTCGTACTCTTCACTGTCTCCCTCCTCGTCCTCTCCTTCGGTCAGGATGTCAGAGCCTAACGTGCTGGACACATATGCCACAGGTGGGGCAGGGGTCTTGGGTGGGTGTGAGCTTCCCTTCAAATGCCTGAAAAGAAAAGGATTTAGAATTTATAGCGAATACTGATGGAGAATGCATTATATATGTAAAGGAGAAAAACATATCTAGAATAGCTCTAGAAAGTTGTGACTTCAGAGGAGATATTCCACTTTTTTTACCAGTGTTTAAAAACCTTTTTATAATCCCTATTTTCCTGTGCACAATGTGATAATCATGGATTATATTATTGTTTACTAAGGACAGGGATCACTACAAGCTTTATGATATGACATTACTTGAGCCACATTTATTTTATTGTGATTTTTAAAGATTTGTAATACCCTATATAATCTGTTTTGATATATTGTGATTTATAACTTTTGACTGCAAATGGTTGCTCCAACAGTGTACTTTCTTTTATTTGTGTAAATATTTACAACTTTAATCTTACTTCAGTTTAAGTAAAATAGAATTGTGAAGTAAACAAATGCATCGATACTTCGTGATACATCATGTATGTTAAAAAGTTCAAATCTGCCAGGGCATCTTGACTGCTGGGTTGAGCTAAGAAGCCAGGCAGCTGGAACAAAATCCTGGAGAGGTTTAATACTTTCTGGAAGCAGTGTGTCATGTACTCGCTTAGACTATAATTGTAAGGAAAATTTTCCCTCAGGTTTATCAATGCCAACCAGCTTCATCCGGCCCCAAACCTCTCGGATAAGCAGAATACGTACACTGATGAAAAATGATTTATTCTGAAACTGTTAATAAAGGACTAAACTGTTTCACTTCTCCTTGTTGTCAGAACATAACCTTCCAGTTTTGCCATTTTTACTAGCTTCCCTTTACAGTGTATGAAAACTTCACAGCAAATGTGTATTTTAAATGGTATTTAAAAAAAAACTTTCTACATGAACTTAAACAGAAAGTGCTAAATGTTTTTTTCTACTCCTGTGAAGTTAATATTTTGCCATTTAAAGTTACCAAGGTTTTAGTCAAACAACATCAATATCATCTATTGCCTGGATCTCAACACATTACAGTGCTATACATGCATGTTTTCCAAAGCTAAATCATTTGGACTATCTTCTTCCCATTAGCTAATTGCCACTGTTACAGGTCACTCCCCTGTCATGCAACAGGACAACTAAACTAGGCAGACAAAGGCTCCCAGAGGCTTTCCCCTGACATCTTGTCTTATCAAACTAGCCACCATGCAGCTCAGCTGAGCAGCTTGAGGTGCTTTGAGAAGAAAACTACAGTATATATTTGTTTGTCTTCACTAAGGAATGATCCATTGCATAAGGAAGCAATGCATTCTGCCATCTTTTCCACACGATAAAAACATGGCCAGTTGTGCTGTTAGGTATCCCTGGCCATGGATGACATATGGCCATCTGGGACTCGAACTTGGCTCATAGTAGCAGAACTCAACACTAAAGCAGTATTTCTGCCAGACAAATCACTGAGGAGCCTCCAAGCATGCAAGGCTGCAGCAACTAAAACCCTCAACAGTGGTAGAAGATCAGGTCTAGGAAATCTTCAGTGAGAAGATTCTCCATGCGGACACAGAATTTACAGTCTATCCTGTATCCATGTGGAAAACTGGAGCGGATGGTGCTAATTCCATTGTTGGGCTGTGTGGAAGGCTTACACAATGGGCTGGTAATTGGGTTGGTGGGGAGGGGGGAGTGAGGCAGTGGGCAGGGCTGTCAGTTACACGTCTGTAATCTTCAGCACAGCTGCCTGGGCTGTCAACCTCGCTGTGTCTCAGGCGCGTAGCATCTCCACACGTAATTACCGGCTCTTTTTCCTGTTGTCAAAGACGCCAGCAACACCAACCCAGTCATTACCCCCTGAGCTCCAGTCCACCACCCCCTCCCTGTCATGACAAGATTCTCCCACCACATGCTACAACTGTAATCAATAAGGCTGTTTCTGGCACTCCAAAGGTAAGGTGAAGCCTCACGTTTCCTAATGGCTTGGAGACTAAATAACGGGTAATGAAATCCTGAATGTGCCGTATTGATATGCAAAAACATCCGTTCACTTCAGCTGATTGGTGCCACTGTCTGTCACAACACACGTTGCAATGACCAGGTGTATTTCTGAATAGCACATAAATGTCTCATTATGTGGAAAAATACATCTCCAGTAGTATAATTTCAGTCTTGTGATGTTGCAATATTTTTACTGTCAAAGACCATTTTTTTCTCCCAAGTCCATGAAATGAACGTGTATTAACATTTCTGATGGAAACGGAAAAAACTAAATGTAATGCATGCATGAAGGCATGAAGAATTTCAAACCTCCAGACGTTGATTTAGCTTTTTACTTTGAATCACATCCAAGTACAAAATGATTACTTTGAACTTTGTTTTCAGAAATCTTCCTTCAGAATCTATGCTATGTATTTCTTGTCCAACTGCAGGACGTTTATCTAAATGCAGCTTTCTCACCAGGTCTGCTTGGCCACCTCATACTGATAGGCACGGGTGAGCTCGTCCAAGTGGGCCTGAAGCATGGACTGCATTTCCTCATGGTGGGAGGAGCCTAGTGATGTAGAGGAGCCCTGGACATAGGGCAGTGCTGCTGGAGAGGAGGCCACGCCACGGAGGGGTGGGGTGGGCACTCGCTCTTCCTCTTCTAATTCATCCTCCATGCCCTGGTGTAGGTAGGTCTGCACAGGGAGGGATGGAGCCCAGCTGTCACTTTCATACCTGTGGCAGCAATGAATGAAAGTGAATTTAGAGTGGTGCCCATAGGTAAGCAAAATCCAAGATGAGATTTTTTTTGTATCTCTTTACAACTGAGGATGTTTCAACACTATATTTTCATCTCATTCCAATTTCCAGAGAAATAATCACAAATCACTGCATAGTGTCCTTTAGCACAATTCAGCTCTTGTTAATTAGCTGATGAAATGAATCAGGTTTGCTGGGAGCAGGACAAACACCTAAATATGCAGAGTAGCAAACTTCATGAAAAAGAAAATGGAAGGAGAAACATGGATTTCGTGGCTTAAAGTAAGAGGCTTAAACTGCAGTGCAAGCTCACACTAGGCTAAAATTTCAACACGCTCCCAAAGACTAGTGCGTATGTCTAAAAAGCCCAGCACCAATTTAAGCTATAACAAAGAGATTTTATGGCTTCAGTTGTAAAAGCAGAGATATCAGCTCGCTCAGCAGTGCTGAAGTAGCAGCATAATGTTCATTAAGCCAAGTCCCTCTCCTTTCTTCTCTTGCTTTCCTTTGCTGTTCTAAGCATTCTGACTGAGAAGACAGCCGTGCTGTTCAGCTGGGTGTGTGAGCCCCAAACGCCGCTTCCTCAGCACTTTATTGAAAGAGAGAGGTTCCCTAGCGTAGAGTTAAATCTACCACTCTGTCTGGCTGTCTCGTGTGGTTTTGTTGTGTACAATTAGAAAGATATATATGGCCAATTAAGCCACATGCAGTTCAGTCTACTAGCACAGTACTGTGCAAAAGTCAGGGACCACCTTTCACTTATTTAATTTCTAGTCAAAACAGCCACTAAATAAAAATGATAAATTTTTAGGAGACATTTCTGAGGATATTAGAAATAAGGTAATCCTCTTTCTCATGAAATGTGATGTCAAAGGAAAATAAGTGAGAAAAAGTTTGCAAAACTGTAGTTAAAAAATATAATTAAAAGATATAGACAAAATAGGACTCCTGACCACCAAGCAAATTGGCAGATCACGAAAATTGCACCATCAGATTAACAGTACTTAAAGCTTCCATTTTAGAGAGATAATCAAGAAAAATTAATGCTCCAGATCTGAAAAACTCCACAGGTGTTTCTGTGAGATGTCTGAAAGGATGCACAGCTGTCAAGAATCCATTACTGAGAAAAAGGAAATAGACAAAAAAAGAAGAATTTGCAACTCAAACAAAGACTGCTGAAGCCGTATTACAGAAACATCTGATGTCTGAAATCTTAAAACTTAATTTAGGGCTAAATGTAGGACAGTAGCTATTACAGAACAATTCTTATGTTTATTAACCTTTCCTAACTTCAGATAAGAAAACAGTATTACACATGCCTCCTTACTAGCCTAAATTTCCTAAATACTGTCCTAACTTTAAGACAACCCCAGTGGTGTCCTAACCTTGTTTTAACCATTTGTTTCTATCGTTTTTAGGCAACTGTTACAGGTAGCATAGTTCACTAGTAGCATAATGGCGTTACACTGCAGACACGATCTCCATCATCCCCTCTTATTACCTTCACATGTTAATATTGATCAAAAAAAACTCATCACATAAAATATTACAGTGATGGTGGTGAGGAAACGAGTTGAATGTGTGGCTGTTTCTTAGGAGGAATAACATTTACGCGGTCGGCTAAAGCATTTGGGAAACTGAAACTGGTGTGCGGAAACGCTCCTATAGACAGCAGGAGGGGGGGGCACTCACAATATTCTTAATCTCCAGTTTACTGCACTTTAGTTTTGTTTTGATCTTTTTTACATTGGTAGCTCTAACCTACATTTTCAACATTATTTTGACAATGTGTTTATATTTCAGCTGTGGTTGTATCATCACTGCTAGGTTACATGACAGTTGACTGTTGACTTTGATCGAGTAGGTTAAGATTTCCTAACTTGACACAAAATTCCTAAATTAAGATAAGATTTGCTTCTGTAATATGAATTTGTGATAAATCTTGACCTGTCAGATTTTAACTTAAGACAAAAAGATAGGAAGTTTCTGTAATATGGCTTTGGTTTGTCTCAGGACAATGAACCTCAACAACACTGAATGTGTTTGGGATTACCTGGATCATAAAAAAACAGAAAATGCAACCAATTTCTAAGACTGAACTTTAGATGTGTGGAAAAATATTCCTGCAGATTTGAAGCAAGTCTTCTGTAAAAAATAAAGTAAAAGCTGTAATAAGGGCAATAGATGAACATACAAAATACTGAAAAAATTGATATCATATTTAGTTGCTGAGGCTTCTGCTGTATTCTTTTGTTAAATACATTTTGTGCTTTTTTCCTGATAGTGAAACTTAATGCTTTAGAATTAACACTAATCTCTGACATTTGCACAGCACAGTGTGTCTTAAAATTGTGGAAATCACTGAGACTATACGCGATTGTGTTTGTATGTATGTGTGGGCACTAGTCTTACCCTCCAGCTTGACGTTCTGGTGCATAGTGGTCCATCTCTGTTCCCGGTAAAGGGTTCATGGGCGGGGGAGGGAGGGGCATATTGGCCCAGCAGGAGCCGTTAGGCTTTGCTGTTTTACTGCCTCCTTTGGACTTCTTCTTTTTGCCATTCTTTCCTCCTAAAGGGGGCAGCAGAGAAAAGAGGAACCTTCAGCTTAGAACACATTTTCACATTCAATTTTAGGCACATTCAATATTAGGCAAAAGGTAAAATTGGATGGTGTCTATTGCTAAGATCAGAGTGTCTCAGTACAGAAAGGGAGAGAGAAAGAGTGTGCGTATGCGAGAGGAAGAGAGAAAGACAGACACAGTGCTCGACTAATTGCGCAGATTTAAGGTCAGAGTTTAGCTGAGAGTCTGGTCCCCATCACAGTGTTTCAGCACACGGGCAGAAGAGGCCCGGTCTCCGAGCCGCCTAATGAGCAAGTCCCATTCCCCCTGTGGACCTGCAGACTGCTAGGGAAGCTGTTTTATCATCACCTGCTCTACCTCCTCTCCTCTCATTATCTCTCTCCCCCTCTGTCTCGCTCAGTCTGCGCCACTGATGGGCCACAAAGACACAAAGAGCTCTCTCTTGCCACATTTTCTCCTCCTCTGCATGCTGTGATCGGCAGCATTCACAACCTGGAGGGCCTCTTCGTTGGGCTTAAGCTCAGCATCCTATCAGCTCCTCATGACACAGACTCACTGGTGTTTAAGCCCACAGTAAAAGGCTAGAGCAAGGCGTGTACGCTGCATCCTTGCTCTACGCCTCCGCATGGCAACAGCGCACTAATTTTATGTCCACGGGTCAAAACACAGAGGAATCCCTGCCTGCACTAATCAAATTAATCCACAGCAACGTGCTGTAATTCTCTGACATTTCTGGGCTAAAAAACTCCCAAGGCTGAGAAGCAAAAACACACATGAAAAGAAGAAGAGCGATTAAGGACGATATCCTCCGGGTCTGTTTTCAGCAAAAATGTAAATATTAAATCTATTCCCCCCTGATTCAGGCTCCTTTATATCCTTTTTACTTCTTTCCCCTCTTTTCTTTTTCCCTATTGACTTTTTCTCCAGCCTTTATCTGCTCATCCTCTTCTGCCCCTCCAGTCCTTTCTCCTCTCTCTTTCCACGGCCTTCTCTCTATTACATTAGATGTTCGGAGATACTAGAAGGTTCTGCACTCCTAATTAACCAGCCAAGCAAGCAAATTTGAGGCTGTACTTGGACAACCCCAAAACAGTGCCGCTGGCCATCGTCACTGACCGCTGGCCAAAACAATGTGGCATAAACACAAAGGCTACAAATGTGATATTCATAAAAACAGACATTAAAAACATACAGAGAGACAGAAAGAGCGCAGCACATGAGAGCAGGAGAGAGCGCAAGAGAAACTATTCTGGAATTTTTTAGATTTCTTCTTGCTAGGTTAAATACACTGAGCAAACATTAAGTAAATCACCCTTCAACATTTATTTTACAATTTTAAATCTTATCCATTATTAAGCAAGCTAATCTCATTTAGTTCTCTCTGGCGCAGACAGATTCACCTGCCCAGACCCAGAGAAAGAAAGAGAGAGAGAATTAGTTAAAACTATCAGCAAAATTTGTATACAATTATCATGCTGCACGTATACATTCAAACTCAGGCCTTTGTAGAGGACAGTGGAGCACAAAGTAACGCGAGGTAACTCATGTAGTTAACAGGTTAAAGTAGAATAATCTTTTTGACTTTCATAGTGACAGAATCTGCAAAATTTAATAGGAATCCAACAGATATTTCTCTGGATTCACCCTGAAAACTGTTTTTAAACCAGAAAAGTACAAGTGGTCATTTAAAAAGTCATGTGAAGTTAAGCGGTCATGTGAATAAATATTTCAATTTTATCAACCTGTTATTTGCTGTTCTACTTCATAGTGAAAAAATGAATTTGCCACATTCAATACAGCCTCTTTCAGTGATCATATTCATTTTGATGAATTTAGTTATATGTATTTAGGTTGGAAGGCTTGTCTGGTTCAAACAACATAGAACTGTATTAAATTGATTGTGTTTTGCATTGATTTATCAGACTTTTTAGTGACTGTGACAAGTAGCCCCTCTGTCTGTCATAGACAACCCCGTCCATTTAACAATTAGCTGCTTGGGAACATTTACATTTTCATTTATAGCAGAGATGTGCAGGTTCTTGCTCAAATAATCTAAGTTATTAATTCATTTAAATCAAAATTATCTCCCTTCAATATCTACATTTTGTATACACAGACTTGAAACGTTGTTTTTTCTTTTGTGTTTAGAAAATGTGTTTTTTTTCTTCAGTATTATTATTACTACATTGTATTAAGCATTATCATTCCTTATAATACTTTTTTTTTCTTTGCTTTGTCAACAGCTGTTAATTATAATTTATGCCAGTAAAACACTATTTCAATGTGATGGAGAGAGAGAGAGCGAAAAGTGAAAGTGTTCTTTCCCCTCCCCTGAGCACTGACTATACCATTGGCGCAGGATCTGCTGTCAGTAAGTGAGTAGCCCAGGCTGGCCATCTCCTGCTGGGCACGCAGTGAGGCTTTCCATCGTGGGTCAGGCCGATCCACGGCCAGCTCATGGAAGCTGTTGGACTGCAGGATCTGAGTGGTGGCGTAAGGGGTGGCCTGGTTGCCTCGGGCTGGGCTGCTGTAGCCCGTCTTGCCTGTGAAGTCGATGCTGCTGTAGATGGCACCGTCCGACAGCATGGTGCCCGTCTTCTCCCCGGCTCCAGACGGCAGCACGTCTGAGACAGACAGAGAGAGCGAGATATGGCATTAGAGATGGAGAGATAAAGGAAAAGAGACACACAGAGGAAGAGTAGCAGCTCTTAAGGTCAGTGTGAAGCTTATTAGCGCACCCTGCTGCTGCTGCTCCATGCACCCCACTCAGGCTCATCCCGACTCAAATGAGGTGAGATAAATAAAAGTGATTAGCCAGCAGATTAATTATCAGATGACACAAGATGCTCGGAGGGGGGTGAACTCGGCGGCCGAGGGAAGATGGACACTCATACGGAGCTGACCTTCAGCTCAGACCAGCACAACCTGCAGAGCACTGATGAGCTCGCTGAGATCTAAATGTGCCCTTACACACAGGCACACACATGCACATTCAAATTTGCCTAAACAAATACAGTTTGTATTTTTATAGCAATGATTTGGACAATATCAGTAGACAATATCTACTGTAAGTACAGTAATTGTCAGTCAATAAAACATTAAGTACAAGTTATTCAGATTTCAGGAGATATTTTTGAAGACATTAAATAGACGCTAATTCACTTGCATAAAAAATGGAAAAGTCAAAGGAAAATATGTGAAAAAACAAGTTTCCAAAACTGGAGCTCAAAAAAGAAATAACAGAAACATGGAACTCCTAACAACCATGCAAGACCTGGTGGACCACAAAACTGTCACCATCAGACATACAGCACTTAAAGCATTCCTTTTTGACAGAGGGTCGAAAAATCAGCTCTGATGTGAGATGGCAACTCAACACTACGGGTCTGAAAGCATGTGTAGCTGTCAAGAAGTATTAAGAAAAGGAAATGGACAAAAATAGAAGAAAATTGAAAACTAAACAAAGAAGCTGCTGCTGTTCTCAGAATAATGGACTGATCACTTCAGAGTCCAGAGCTCAACATCATTAGATGTGGTTAGAATCACTTGGACAACCAACTTCTAAGACTGAACTCTGGAGGTGTGGAAAAATATTCCTGCAGATTTCTTTGAAAAACTAAAAGCAAGTCTACTGAAAAGAATTACAGCTCTAATAAAGGCAAAGAGTGAACACACTATATACTTAAAAGTGTGATATTATATTTCATTGTTACATTGTTGCTTCTCTGTAAGTCACTGTTAACTCTATGTTTTCAGTATTTTTCCCTGATGCTAAAAAAACGAATAACTTGTATTATACTTAATGGCAATTTTGACTGGAAATTAAATACATGAAGGGTGGTCTATGACTTTTACTAATGTACATTTTGGGTAAGAGTGACAATACTGAAAAAAAAAACACTCTGAACGTCGGAGGATACTTAATCATTTCAGTTAATCATTAATAGCCATTTTGAGGTATGAAGGACGACTGAATTGAAAGATATTCTGTTCTGGAGAGTGTGTGATCACCTGTCATTTCCAGTACTGAGGGATTCTCAAGTTGCTGAAATATTCATAACGTTCATACATGAATTCAGAATGTATCACACAGCGCGCTCGGGGGCCTGAACCTGTGACCTGCTCATTCCCTCGGGGGCTTTGAAGTGGCACTTGGCTCTTTCAGGCCATTCCCTTTGTTCTTTTTTTCAAACTATTTTTTATGCTCCTGAGATCTTACCCCCACGTCCGAAGTTGCTGTGGTCTTTTGGAGCGCCCAGGCCGCCGTTGGCAGGCAGGCTGGTGGAGGGCCAGGAGTCGGCTAGCCAGGGGAAGCCAGGATCACCAGCTTTCAGCAAGCCAGGACGACTGAGAGAGGGAGATAAAGAGGACAACAGAGAAAGAGAAAGAGAAAGACAGGACATGCATATGTAAGGGTATGATCTACATGCCACCAAAAGGGTGAATAAGAGACAAAGAATAACATTCTTTTTTCTTTCTGTTTTTCATTTCCCCTATTTGTTCACGGCCTCCATCAGCACCAGATTGCTGCGAGAGCTCGTTCCCCACGCACACTGCCCGGAGCAGTGGAAATAATAAACAAGCAAACAAAAAGACATAAAACAGTGACAAGTCTATAAATCTAGCCCCCAACCCCCATTCTGCCCTGGAGAAAGAGAAGCCAATAGCAACTACATGGCAGAATGTTAAAGCCCCCTACAGCACCTTCATTTTGGAATAGAGGGGTATCCTGTCAGTCTCCTTGCTAAGGGTGGTGGTGAAGGAGTCTCCATGGTAACGAGTGGGGTAAAGCTCATTGGCTGGCCATCTCAGATGGAGAAGAAAATGATGAGGAATTTCCATGCATACATGCTAATAAAAAACCAAGATGCAGTATAGAAGAAGCTTTGTTTGCTCAGTTTGTTGAAGATGGAGGCATGTTTTGTTGTTGATGTTTTTCCATGTACTGAGCGGCAAAGCCAGAGTCAGGCAGGAAGGTCGTCCACATGATTTGGTTTGCCTTTTGTCTAATGAATGCAGCAGCCCACGAAAGCGCTTCCCCCTAAGAGCCCGGGCAGTCGGAACGCAGAGGGATTTCAACACATCTGAGCTCAATGGCTCAAAGGTGGAGGAACCATTATGTGAGCTTTTTCCACCCAGGCTAACACATACTCACATGCATCAACATCCACATTAGCTTGCACATTCCAGCACACACACGCACGCACACACTCCTGTACTCAGTGACACACACATAAAAGCAAAAAGCTCGAGTTTATATTTAGAAGCCACATTTTTTGCTACATTTGTTTGGCCTCTTGGCTAGCTTTGCCTGCTCAGGTGTGACAACAGAACGGATGAAGAGAACACAGGGAACGAAAGAAACAAAGCAAGAAAGACTGCACTGTTTACTGTGCCTCACCTCTACAGGGACCTTTCTCCTACCCTTCACTCTCTCACTGGGTCACCAACTAGCGACATTCAAAGGGGCTTGTGCTCTTTAGGCTCAGAAGACAGCAATGTACATGAGTGGATAAGGCTATCCATGTGCATGTGTATTACAGAGGGAGAGTGAGTGCCTGTGAGGGACTCTCTCCAATGATTATCTTTTCACATCTTAGTACATGTGGGTAGTTTGGTCTTGAGCTGCTCTCGACAGAGAGAATCCATCACTGGCTCTGGGGAGGCACCACCCGCAGCCGGTCCAGGACGATGAATGGGCGAATAAAAAAGCTGCCCTGACGCATTAATTGTTTCTGTTAATTCCAGCCGGAGGAGATTTATTAGCCAATCAATCGATACATCAGTGCACGCGTTGCTCTTGCACACGGCTGCAAGTGTTGAAGCATTCATCAGGCACCTGTCCGCCACGCCATTAACATCAGCTCTGGCCCAGACCCCATCACTGTTTCAACAGGTCAGTTCTTAAGCAAAAGCTTTGTGTGGTAAATCTCTGCCCTTACTGCAATTTGATCCAAATTCATGATTCTTCACAAAATTATTTGGTGCATTATGATATGTCAAAATTCACTATTATTCTTGTGTGTTGTTTTGGTACTATTCAGTATTATTTTTAAAAACATTTATACACCAAACTTTCTGTGAAAATGTTTTTGTTGAGAATTTCATTATTTTATTTTAATCAAAAATGAGCACACTCTTTTTAAAATATTATTATGAATACTATTTTTATTGGACTATCTGTGCCTCCATCCACAAATGAGTCCTTGCGTAGCTGTTGTGAAGTTAGACAAGCTTTACAGAATGTTGGCAAAATTTACATTCAATACAATGAGAAATTGTACGAACCCGAGGCCTGAATTGGAAGCATTCTGCACACGGGTTATGTATGCATGAGCCTACAAGCACAGTTTATGGGTCATGTGCATGATAAAAAGTCAAACGCACTTCTCTTCTTCAAGCATATGCAATTGAGGGAGGGCCATGCAAAACACAGGAGCACTACGCAAAAAGTGGGTGGAGATATCACACATGTGGCTAATTACATACGACACTCAACTTACTAAATTTTTAAGCATCTCGTGGTTGCAGATTTTTTTCTTTATCCTTTAAAACCAAGCTTACATTTTATATGTGCTGTTTAAAAACGTCCTTCAAAAACAGCATAGAGACGGAAAGAAAAAAAAAACTATTAGATTTTTTTCAGTGTTGCCAGGGAAAAGCCTGTCCGCCCTCACAACACTAGCAACGAGAATGCACTTCTGGGCGGAGCATGGACAGGTCAACAGAGCCTCCCAAACGTGCTGAAAGAACGTTTATCATCAGAATAACACTGTTGAAACTCTTGGGACAAGATGTATGTATGTGAGAAGACTCACTATGAAATATGCCGTAACGGAGCTGCAATATGTGTGCGCAGTCTGTGTTTCACAAAAACGTTTCTTTTCTTTCTTCTTTTCTATCTTCAAACCATCTGAGCAAACTAAGATAACATCATAGGTAAATGACGTATAATTTAACAGCATTTATACATAGTAACATACATACATACAGAACCACATACACACACACAAACACGTTTAGGAGGAAAAGCCAGTTAATCATCTGTAAGTTTATATTCATAATGCTGGTTATAGTGACTGGTTATAGTCAAAAATCTATGAATTTTCTTAGTTTCTACAAGACACAAGCATTGGAGGAGTGAAAAATTCTGTTCATGAATAAAGAATTTAGCATGAAGAGTAAATAACATACTCTAGAGGCTTATTAGTAGTGTTACTGTGGTAACAAATAATTTCTTTGAGATTAAAAGAGTAAATAATTTTTACAGGGTTAAAAATGTACGCACATAAATTGGACCAAAATCTGTGTGTGTTATTTCACACTGAAAGAATAAATGAGTGAAAGTTTCATCAGCAGATCCACACAAGAAGTAAGAGCTATTAATGTCTACAAACTGCAGGACAGAGTATATCATTCACAGAGTATATCTTATGTAAAGTTTTAAAATGGAATCCTACAATGTTTAAGAGGCAAAAGCTGCCAGGGAAAGCTTATCCAACCTCACAAAATCAGCAACGAGAATGCATTTCTGGGCGGAGCATGGATAGACTGATTGATTCTAATGTTACAAAATGTATGCAGCTGAATTGCAGCCTCAAATTAATCATGATTCATCAAAGCATTTTTATCCCCTAGTCTTAATGTTCTTCAGTGCAGCAGCCAGCCAGCATGCAACTGAAGTGCATCCAGAAGAGCTCCGATTCTCCAAACTGAGTCATCTGCTGCTACTCGTCCCTGCCCAAGGCTAAGCACTCAGCATGCAGCATTCAGGGAGAATAAAGCCCAGCAGAATGGCTGTGTCTAAGGCACAGAGCACGGCTGATCGATAGCTACAGGACAGGCTGTAGTGAAAGCGGCCTGTGTTGATTTCTCGGGTGTGTTTACTTGGTCAGAGGTAAATGTCACCACATAGAGAGCTGAGAGAGTGATGCAGCGCTCACCTTCCACTTCCCATCAGGCCCCTGTCTCCACGCTGGAACGTCACTGCGGGGCCAACAGCCAAAAAGACAAGCCAGGAGGAGGGGGAAGAGGAGGGTAAGAAAAAAACAAAACAGATCTCAAATCACTGCTTTCCTATATTCCATTAATGCATAAATTAATGTCTGTTACATACTGGATGGCTTACTGCCTATAGTGGGATCGAGCCCGTTGGAAGTTAGATAGAGACGGGACAAATGGTCAGTACCTGCACGGGTGAAGGTGAACGACTGGACTGTGAAACAAAAACACAGAACAAAGACGGCATTAGAATTCGTTATAAAATATACAGCAGCAAATGCAAATGAAGGAGGGATGAGATGAGCTGCATTCCGTACACACACAGTGTCTAATGACAGAACTGACAATAACTGTTTACATACACACCAACAGTTTGATACAGCCTAACAAAATTGCTACCCTAACTAAGATATGATCAAGTAAACAGCAGAATTCGAAAGTCATAGTCTGACTAAGGTCTTACTCGACCTAAGGGTAGCACATTTAACATGTGATGTAGGTCAGTTTCAGACATTATTTAAGATATAGTGCTGTGCAATAGTTTTAGGCACCTAAGCACATTGTTTCACACCACTTATCTGGGCAAGTATTTTTGCTTGTAAAATCTATCACATATCATTACAATAGATGCACTTACACATAAATAGAGTAAAGAGTAACAAGGATTTCTAGCTAGTTTAAAGATTTCTCCTGGACAGCCCCAGCCATCACATTGACTTGTTAAATTCCACCACCAGCGCACTTGATTTTCAGTCTCAATATGTTAGATAACATTTTATAGGGATACATCACCATGGCCACTTCCTGCACACCTAACCTGCTCCTGGGCGTGGGGTTTTGAACCATGAACAGCTCTTAAACCAACCAGGGCTGAATACCCAGCCAATCAAGGACATTACAAATATACTTTCTACACATTTACCCAGTATGATGTATTATCCTTCTTTTTACAATTAGCTGCTTGACTCTTCATCATGTTTCAAGCGATTGGCTGTTCATCATGAACGCATGCCTCCATGTGTATGCGCATGAGTATTAATCATAGCTTGAGTATCTAAACCTGAGGTTACAGAGAAAGCTGTTAATCACCGTTGGGAAAAGAGTTAACTGCGGTGGCATTTTTTAGATTTTTAAAGCTGAAACTTAGTCAGGGACTCCAAGTTAGTGCTTTATAAGATGGAGCCCTGTAATAGCACGTGTGATGAATGCTTATTGACACGAAAACAAGCATGTTGTAAAAGCTTTAATCAATAGAGTATATTTTTTGTGTAAAACCGTAACAGGAAAAGCTTCAAACACAGTATTTTTCACTAATTGTATTAGTACTGCAGAAACAGCATGTTCACAGCTCCACAGAGCCTGGCTCTACATTTGTTAAAAAGAAGGGAAACTCATACTTAGGTAAACTGGGGTACATCACAAAGGGTGTGTTTCATGTTGCAGTTAAGTCAGACTCTACCTGCATGCATGTAAACAGGAATAAGTTCATTTTTAAATGTATTTTTTTATAATACCTCTCATGTAAATGACTCAGTTTGGTACAGTAAAGAACTCAGGCTATTGTGCACATGTAAACTACTTAATGATATTCATGTATTTCACACGTGAGTGGTGGTACTCAGAGGTGTGCAAAGTTGCTGGCAGATGGAGCGAGCAAGCAAGACACAGACTGACTAGCTGTACTAGCGGTGACGAAGAGACTGAACTGTGCTCTGCAAATGAATTTCTCACTGCACGAGAGCAGGATCACAGCCCAGGTGATGGATAAAGCAAATGGCTATTGAATTAGGCAATCACCGCAGTCTCCACCTAAGTCATCGGACCGTGATGATAGCAATACATATTATAATGAGAGTAATCCACAGCTACACGCAATAATTACCCCCTGGAGGGGAATACCAAATTACATTTTGGAGGCTGGAGACTGTATTTAGAGCTAATGTAGGAACAATATGGGTCAGAGTCCTCTAATAGACGTGGCGCGCCAGCGTTTCGTTTCCAAATTAGTGTTTAAGTGCGAGCGTGCAGGTTTTGATAGGATTGTGTTCAAGGTCGATGCACATAGGTGCGCAATGCATTTTAGTAGGGGGCAAGAGCTCTTTGCCTTTGTTCTGCTTTGGCTGTGGGTAAAACAGAGTGCCCTCTGGGCTTTGACTAATGCATGTAAAACACACCAATACAAACGTTTAAAAAAACAAGTTTTTAGCTCTAAGGTCCTTTATGATACCGTATTGCAAACAGCTTCTGTTCTATGCAAAAGAGGAAGATTACATGTGGAGCTGTGACCCTCACTGCTGGGGAAGTCACAATGTCTGGACAAATAAACACTACAGCTTAGCTCCAGTGTATAATCATGATGCAATCCAGCTTACATATGCATTTTTTCTTCTATAAGCCTCGCAGTAAGGGTATTGAGATTTGCAGGCTAAAAACAGCCTTTTTAGTACGGTGAACTATGGATTAATTATATGTCAACACAAACTGTTTATTTTTTTGCTAGCGTCACCATACCAGCAACTCGTCTCTGGAGATTTACTTCGCTGAGACGAAGAGCACGCAGCACAATTGGGCACACAAGTCTCACCTGCATAATTGCTGAGACCTTTCCTCTTCTTTCTCCTCCAGTACAGCCAGGCACTGAAGCCCATGAGCACTATCCAGCAGGCTCCACCCAGGCCTGCAATGAAGGCTGGCTGCTTCACCACATCAGTGATGCTGCTGTTGCCCTCATCTCCCGTCATCACATCCCGTAATTCTGCACCTGATCACCACCACACACAGTAGTTCTTAGCAGGCTTTGAAAAGTTAATGCACAAAGGTAAACAAAGGTGAGCAGACGAAAACAATTCAAATGATTCCAGCATGTCTGTTATGGAATCCCTGTCCATTCCTAAAGGTTAGCACATTAGTGATGGAAATATTATATTTAAATATAGAAATATTTGCCCTCTCTGTCATAAGGTTTTAGGCTTGGTTTAGATTCAAAATTCACATTGGGATTCTCACAATGTTGGGGTTCTCTGATGTGGTTATACAGAATTTTGTCAGACTTGGGTGTGGTTTGGACTTAAAGCGCACTGCTATGTCTTGTTGGGCTTGGACAGAAAATTATCAGACCAAAATTTCAGGCCTGATTAAAGCTCAGCACAAAAACGCCACATAGCAGATAGGACAACATGCACCTTCAATGTGTAGAAGTGCCAACTGACATGCTACAAGCAAGTTGAGTTCATACTCTTTTTATTCAAATTTAATGAAATAAAACTTTAACTGAACATCATTTACTGAATGTCTCACACTTAGAATCAGCTAAATGATTCTTCCTAAACTTCTCTAGCTAAAATATAAGGTGACCAGTTACAATATAACTAGGTTAGTAACGCTAGCTGAGGTAAAATTAAGGACTTGTTTATACCTAACATCCACTCATTGTGGTCCAATCACTTACACAGACATTCAAAAGGCTAAAAAAAAAATTTGCTTAGCAATACTGAAAGTTGTGGGTGGTGAACAAGTTAGACCAGGCATGTCAAACTTGGGTCGTTCTGCTTTCCGAATTAGCTGCTGAGCAGAACCAGGTGTGTTTTTCGGAGGCAGTGTGCTGAGTCTGCAGTGTGCTGAGGTCTGCAGTGTTTTGGCCCGCGAGGACTAGAGCTTGACACCTGTGTTAGACTGTGAATGTATAGAACTGTGCAAAATTCAGAGACCAATAAAATGAAATAAATCAAGGGTGGTCTTCATCTTTTGCACAGTACTGTAGCCAAGCTATCTGCTTTGCCTCAACACATAAACAGATCAGACCACAGTTTGTGCTCAAGTGCTTCGCAATCAGGGCAGCTAGATACAAACACATTCAGAGCGATCTGTATACCAACAACATCCAGTTACAGCATGCATTTAATGCCAAATGTAAATAAAATAACTTGTTTCTTTTAAAATATGAGAGCTACTGCATATATATATATATATATATATATATATATATATATATATATATATATATATTCTTAACAATATATATATATATATATGCAGTAGCACTTATTGTTTATTTTTTGTATTTTCATTTTGTGTCTTACATTACATATTTCATTATTTTGGTTTCCTTTCTTCTCATAAGTTGCCAGTGATGGTCAGTTTTGGAGAAACCAAAAAATCAATGCTTAAATCCTGCTTCTTAGCCTGATTCTTAACAATGTGATTGATGTAGAAACTGTATTTTTGCAGATACTTCACTATATACCACACTTAAGCACATTTAACAGCAGGGAAATTGCCTGTGTTAGATGAAAAAGACATTTAAGACTTAAGAATGCAGCCACAGCAGGCTCTGTACTGCCTCTTCATCATCATACAATCAAATCGAATCAAATCAAATCACATCACATCCCAGCAGCAGATAAGCAACACCAATTAAAAACACACAGGAAAATCTATTTTTACTAATACGATTATTCTACGACTGATTAACAGCATAACAGCAATGGGGGCAGGAGCACTGCAGATGCTGAAAGCAAAACAGGAACCATGTCTCCTTCAGAAATGAAAATAAACAGGAACACAACTGCTTTATATGTCCTAGCCAGTGCAGCCGGCCACTCATCAGTTAGAGCTAGCGGACGGGAGATTGACATGGGGGCTCCATCAGAGTTTGATTTCCTGGTGCAGCTACTGTGCTGTGAAATGAGATTCACACACTCGCGGCGTGAGCACCACCGCAAACCCCTTCATTAAGCCCCACACCACAGCCCTGTGTTTGCCTATGCGGTCGGCTGCCGGGGAGAATTTCTGCCCCTGGCAGTCAAAAGCTGTGGAAAGGGGGGAGAACAACGCACGTCAATAGTATTGATTCTGGGTGTATTTATCTGGCCCCATCCTTCATCGAGCTTGATAAAATGTGATAAGGTGATAAGCCACAGCAATAACACTGTCCACTGTGTTAGCAATGGCCGCGTTTATTGGAGAGGATTATTGATATAGCTAACAGCATTCAGCCAAACGATGCTGGACAGTGTATTAAATGAAAATCTTATCGATTTTTTTTTAAATCACTATCTGTTTAAGATAAAAAAAAGCTTCGAAAACTGAACTTGCAGGGAGGTACACTTGCAATCTTTTACTCTCGTCTCCTTTTCGTTCTCTTTGACTAAAGCACGACAAATTCAGAAATTCTCCATGTACTGATGATTGTATCTGTCCAGCCCAGCAGAAATTGCTCAGTGCAGCTCAGTCAGTATATCATGTTCATTGGTCAGTGCTTAAAAACTACTGATATATAATTTATTTAACATTATGATTGTTGTTGTTCCAACTACAAACATACTTGATCGATTCATATATAAGGAAATTGGTAGTACTGTTAAATTATTAAAATAATTAACCTGATTAACTGTATTATTTTGAGTAGTTAATCATGATTATTTTGTTGTTTTCTCAAATTTGATTTTTTTTTTCATTTAAAAAGCAAAACATTTTATTATAGTTACACAAATGTACAAAATAATCATCATAACGTCTTTATTATTTTAATAATGAATTTAACATTTGGAGTAAGGGTAATATGTGCAAGTTATTTTTTTCTGCCGAATTTTAATTTTTCAAGTTTTCAAATTAATTCCAAATTTAGTGACAAAATTCATGACCCAGTTCAGTCATGGCTTCTCACCAATCACAATGGGCTGTGGCTCACTCTTCACCCCAGTGCCTGCGCTGGTGCCAGCCGCTACCTCCACACGATACTGCACCCCAGCCTGAAGCCCTCCAACTACCACAGAGCGGATTGCTGCATCCACCGTCTTATTCACGTGGAACCGCGTTTCGTTTCCCAGACACCATATCTAAAGAATGAGATAATAGGGAGCAAAAAGGAAGTGTGACATAAAGAGAAAGACAATACATGGAGATACAAAGAGAAGACAAAGGGAAGAAGAGAGAGATAAGAAAAGAATGTGTCAGGACCTTAAGTCCTTAAATTAATTATAAGTCATACTTTTTTAAACTAGCTATAAATAAACTATATTTTTTCTAAAATAGTATACTGACATACAGCATATATTATGTGACTTGGGGCTTGTAGTACCTTGTATTCCTGGATGATGCCGTTCTGGTGGTCTGTGGGTGGGGGGTCCCAGGATATGCTGATAGAGGTGCTGTTCTGGTTGCCCACTGTGAGCACAGTCACTTGCTGGGGAGGGGCGCTGGGGGCTGTCGGAGCACAACACTTATCACTAAACGCCTTTCTCATTACAGCAAACTCACCACACACGCAAGCATTCAAGATTCCAAATGGATTTTTAATGCCTTTTTCTTAGTGACCTAGATATCTAAGAAAACTATTGCCCTTTGAGCATAATAAGCTTTGGATTGTCTGAGAAAATAGCCACTGTGGAAGACTTTTACTATGCACTGTGACCTACAAGCACCCATGCTGCATACAAAACACTTTTACAGGCAACATAATTCTTAGATGGGTACTTACTTTTACACAGATTTATACAAGTAAGACAAGGCCCTGTTACTTGATTCACTATTTCAAAGGTTCTTCTGAATAACCTCAGTGGGAGGGGGAAAGGATGTGTGCTGTTTTGGATGCTATGCATGGTGATGCAGCGTATAAAAGGCAGCAGGAGATGAGGTGTGACCGGCTCTGAGCCCTAATCCTAACTTCGTTAGTCCTGCACCATTGCCACTCCTATCAGAGCCCGCGCTTCACAGAGCAGTCACACTCTGCATCAGCCGTGCCGGATAGCAGCTCTGAGTCACCACACGTACCCGCCAATTACCTTTCACACACTGGTCCTCCTCTACTCTCCTTCCTCCCCTATGCTTCCCACCTCTTTTCCTTCTCCCTTCTTTTACTCTATACATCCCATTCTCTCCCTCTTCCCCTCATCCTACTCCCCTCCTCTTTTTCCACTAAGTGCATATTAACTGTTCCATCTCATCCTCTTAGTCAAAGAAAATGAGTGAGAAAAAAACTGAAGCTCCAAAACTGGACTTCAAAAAATTAATAAAATATACAAAGAAAATGGGACTCCTAACAAAATTAGCTCAATTCTTGCTTCAGATCTGCAATAATTCACAGGTGTTGCTATCCATCCTTCCACTGTGAGAAGACAACACAATGCTATAGGTCTGAAAGAATGTGTAGCTGTCAAGAAGTTATTTGCACGCTGCTGGACCGCTCCAGGTGTTTGGGATCTTTTGGGACATGAGAAGCAGGAAATGCTGTAATGCTGTAATAAAGGCAGAGGGTGGACAAGCTCAATGCTAAAAAATTATATTTAGTTGTTGACTTATGCGTAATCTTCTGCTGATTATATGTTTTCTGCTTTTTCCTGACTCTACAAACTGAATAACTAATAATTAATGAATAATTAATGGCCATTTTGCCTGGAAATAAAATAAACAAAAGAGTAGTCTCTGACTTTCACAACTTAAAAACGACAACACTGAGGTTGAGGTCCAGTTGTGCACCTTAGATTGGTATGCCATATTCTCTTACCAGGCCAAAGATGCATATTTGTACCTTTTCTTAACTTTTTTTTAATAAAAGAGTAAAATAACAAATCTGGAGTCAACACATGGAGTGTGAAGTCAATGCAACATTAAAACTAGTACTGTTTTTAGCTGTGACGCATTTTTGTCCATTTTTATAGATAACAGTATGCCATACCATGTCAGAAACCACATAGAAAGTCTATTTAAACCACATAGGATGTCTATTTAACACTGCCTGAAACCGCACTGAGTTATTAAGTAATGTGGTCATTTAGGCATGCGATTAGCGCACTGCTAACTAGTGGTCATAAACATGTCAGCTACATTAGCCTTGTGGAGCCAGTACAAAACTAAAGAAGCCAATTTCACAAGTCCTGACTGTTGTGATATGGTGAAAACTGTGTAAATTAGATTTTTGGTAAAACTACCACTTCAAATACTCTCTCTGTCCTATATTGTATCCACACAAACCCAGCTTGAAAATAGGAAAATGAAATATAGGTCTATCCTCCACATGATGAGGAGTGGGAAAGGTCTGAGCCCAAATGCAATCTTATTTTCTGCACTGTAACAGTCACTGTAAGAGATTGGTGTCTGTGATTGTAGCCTGCTCTGAGGGAGTAAATCGTATCTATGGAATCTACAAATAGTAAGCCTGACTACATCAAACAAAACACAGGCGCTACTTTGTCACCGCTGTGTTTAACAGTTCTAATCGGGTTATGTGGCATGACAAGACCGCTGCAGCGAGCAGGGGAACTGTCCTGGCTGACACTCAGTAAAGCATGGCTCCAGATCAAGGGGAGCTTAACTTCTCTATGTGACGCTATGCCAATATTAATAGGCAGGCAGGCGCGCTGAATGCTAAAGCGCCATGTTATGCATATTTGAGCTAAATGAAAGCACTCCATTCCCGTGTACAGTAATGAAGGAGATGCTAATAAGGCCATTAACTCTGTGATGTATCACTGGCAGAAATGTAACCCCGTGCTGTGCGGCGGCAGGAGCCTGCCAAGTGACACCGTGGCAACCACACCGGCCTCTGTTTTCCATCTCAAACCTCTCGAGAAAGAGAGACAGACAGAAATTGAGAGAGAGACACTGAGAAAGTAATAGAGAAAGAGGGAAAGAGAGAAAAAGTGAGAGAAAGACAGAAAAAGTAGTATCCCTGTAAATCCCAGGTAAACTGACTATATCAGCTGTTTAATCACACATTAACATATTTAGAAATTAATTCAACCACCTGATCTTTTATGATAACTATTGAGGGTTAAAAATGACGATTAAGATTGTCATGACATGCATACTTGGACTTGGATTGGGTCATGTTCTCTTGATCAAATGATGCCAAATCTAAATCCAAGGTCAAAACATTTACTAAATAGTTATACTCCAATTAATTCTGGAATTTTATCTGAATCACTGCATTTCTGGGATTTATTTCACCACTCTATTTTTTTTTTTGTCATGGGCCAAAATGTTGTTACAAATATATCATTACGGGAGGACTGTGGAGAGAGTAGTACATTTGGTCTTGAGAGAATTTTTTTTTCTTTTGAAATGAAAATGTCTAGTTTGACCTTTTGGCCTACAGACAAGAGCCAAAAGCCCCCCTTTAACCTTCCCCAAAAAAGTTCAAATCTCGCCAGAAAAAAACTTCTTGTTCACTGGAGTTTCACTGGCTAGCCAGCATTAGCGTTACGTGCTAGCTGTAGTGACTATAATATTTTTAGCTGTTTTGCTGGAAATGAATTTATATTCATTATATTTACACTTACAAATTAATGTTGAATGCTTTTACTTGGTTTATTATTCTTATTGTTAATACTACTACTACTACTACTACTACTACTAATAATAATAATAATAAATTAATTTCCATAGTATAATCACCTGATTCATATAGTCACAAATAAGGATTTGGCTAGTTTGTTCTTGGCTGCCTATGTATTGACCCCTGGTTGTTATGTTGAGGGTTTGGCATGTGTCCTGCCTCATCAGTCCATTTGTTACCACAGTACTTCAGAAAACAATTCAATGCATCATGAAATCTCAAATTTCACCACGATTTGATTTCGTTATTTTAATATGTTTAATAACAATTTAAAAAAATACACTGAAAACACAAATGTGGCTATTTACATGGTAGTGCAACACAGACAACAAAAATAATACTAGCTTATTTTTTTATTTTTACAGTTGAAAATGAGCACATACTTTATTGAACATAATTAATGCAGCTGAATGGCCACTTTCCGATTCACTCATTATGATACTTTAAAAGAACACACCTGACAGCCACATAACTTTCTCTGCAATGGACACAGGCATTAGAGAACTGTGCAGAATGTCGTCATTTGGCCTCTGGTGCCAGTATCTTCAGCAGTTTGAAATGGAGTGTTTGGAAGGCACTGAGGAGAGGGAGGCACACTTGCACACCTCTCGTTAAAGCAAAGCCATCATGGCACTAATTGTGCTAATGGATGAGAGCTCAACATGAACTGTGTGATCTGCAGTAAATATCTCACTCGATTTAACCACTGTGTGTGTGCGTGTGTGTGTGTGTGTATCCAAACTGTAAAGAGAAAAAAGGGTGAGAAAAGAGTCAGAAAAGAAAAACTGGCTAAAAGAGAGCGAGACAGGAGTGAAAAAGAGTGAGACTGTTGGAGGAATAAGTAAGGATATGAGAAAGAGAGAAAGAGAGGAGGGTATTAGGATGCAGACTGAACCGGCTGGCACTATTTGACAGTGGTATGGCAAGCAGGGTGACAGTGGCTCAGCGGGGGTTTGGATCTGAGACAGAGTGTGTCAAAGAGAGTGTGTGTGTGTCCCAGTGTGTGTGTCATGGGAGACACGGCCTCCTACTGTGGCACACAGGCCCCACACAACCCTCAGTAGACCAGGCTGAATATGGTTTGTTGCACAGGCAAACCGAATACATTTGTATGCACTTTTGCCCAGGGACATGCAAGAGGCAGCCAGAACCATTACTGCCAAAGAAGTGGACAGAGAACATGATATCGCCTATGAAGGACCACAATACCACACTGAATTACACTGCTAGTTTATTATGTACTGTCCTGTACCTACACAGCTTGGCCATTTTTATCAGAAACACCTCTCATTTGTTGCTGCACACCGTACCCTGTCCTTCAGTTGAAAGTGTCCACCACTGACCAGATATTATTTGGGTGGTGGGCCATTCTCAGCACAGCAGTTATACCAATATGGTAGTGGTGTGTTAATTTCACTGGTATCAGGAACAGCAACGTTGCTGGGATTGTTCGACACCTTAGTGTCATTGCTGGGTTGAGAACAGTTTGCCAACCAGAAATGTTCAGCCAAAGAGGGTCCTGCCGTCAGAAACCGACCCATGACCCATGATGGGCTCTGTAGAATATCTAATCTAATTCAGACCTCAGAATCAAGTATTAAACCTGAAAACAAGCACCACTTTTACATCCTTATCCTGTATCAAACATGTCACACTGTCATATGCACATATTTGAAAAGCTTCAGTCAAATTACATGTTTTATTAATATTGAAAAATCAACAAAATGTAACATGACCAGGTGCCCAAACTTTTGCATACAACTGTATCATGGTATTGTAGTGTACCAACAAGGTTAGCGTATGTAACACATTGTAAATAACTCAAGGTAACAAACTGCACAGTCAAAGCTTACCTTCTTCTAAAGTGCGTGCTGTCATAGATTCACTGTCTGCTCCCTGGAACTCATTGAAAAAGGGCCGGACTTTTATCTCATACACAACCCCCTTTTTGAGATCATGTAGTGTGATGTCCCGCTCTGACGGAGTCTTTAGATCCTGGACCTGCCATGTTCCTGGAGAGGGCAGTCCGGATGTTTGCCTGTAGAGAACACGGTAGCCTTGGATGAACTGGGACGGGTTCTCAACCTGCAACAGAGGGGCAACTGATTAGTACATGGAGAAAGAAAAGAAAAAGAGTCATGAAAATTAAGCAACTATGAAAAACAAGTAGCAAACATGCTAAAACCTTAGTGACTCACTACCCTGTGCAGAGATACGCAGGCTGAACAAACCACTGTACTCACAATGATTGTTTTCAAGTAATGAGACATTAAATCCCACAAAAGCAATCATGAAAAATGAGCTACTGTAGCTTCTGCCAAACGTTTTCAAACTAAGTGCATTAGAAACAATGAGATGGGTTGCTCAGCAAAGCTCTGTCACCATGGATAGGTACAGTAGAAGTCATTCTGTTAGAGGAGGCTGAATAACTCACAGTAATGGCTTGTTAACAGGAGCAAGTGAAGGCTTTTACAGGCAAAATAAAGTAGCTGTTTACCGTCAGCCCAGACCAAATAAATCAGCTCGGTATGTGTGTCCCCCACACGTGTGCGTGCCTGTGTGGCTGTGTGTGCATTTCATTATTGAAATGAATAACGAATCTAAAAGCTTCATTTGTCCCTAAAGCTCATCCTAATAAAGACAAGCACTGACTGATCTGTGTCTGAATGGAAGAGCAGTGAAAACAAGCAGGTTTGTCTCCCAACACCAGTGGAAGCACACAACAGAATGAAGAAATGAAGTGGATTCTTATGGGACGGAATAAAAAGGGAGAGGTGTAGTGTTCGTGGAGCATTACGCAAGTATGTATGAGCGATATATTACTAGCACGAACAAAACTTTTCTCATGTGAACTTTGAGCAGTCAGCTGGTTAAACAACTTTTCAAATCATAAAATATTGTTAAGTTGAGTGCTGTGTGATATTTGAAAAATATCATTATCACTATATTTTCTGAATATATCATGGTATCAAGGTACCAGATGATATTTACATTAGCATTAATACAGTTAATGAACCCTTGTTTCATGAGTACTGCTACTCTATGTTAAAACAATACAAACCTAAAATAGCTTGTATTGATTGGATTTTGTTTTTCTTTCTGTTCAGCTGTTTTGTGACAATGCCTGTTGTAAAATTAAATAAAAAATCTTGAATTGACTTGACTTCTATTTCGTTCTCTCGAAGTTATACAAAAGGAAACCTTAAACAGAACTTAAACAGTAAATGTTCATGAGAAACAAACCACATTTCCAAAGACAAAACTTACTGGTTTATTTTGTATGGATTTTTAGCTGCTCTTTCAAAATAATCTGATGCACCTAGCAAATGGTATATATTGCAGGTCCTGGATATCATGAGTAAAATGCACAAAATAGAATAAAACAAACCTCTAGGCAACACTGCTATGTTATGGGCATTATGCAATCCTATGTAAAAGTCTGAAAATCCCTGGTCAAATTACATGATTTGTTATTTATTTAACATGAAAATAACACGTCCTCTAAGGAAAACAGACTTAAATACGGAATTTTTCTGCAAATTTTAGTGCACAATTTCTATTTATTTGCTGGGTGTAGCATATTGGGAAAAAATAAAACATAAAATATAAAATGTTTTTTTTTCAGTATGTTAAATTCAGCAAATAAACAATAACTGTGCATTAAAATGTGCAGAAGTGTGTACACTGATCAGGCATAACATTATGACCACCTCCTTGTTTCTATGTTCATTGTCCATTTTATCAGCTCCACTCACTATATAGGTGCACTTTGTAGTTCTACAATTACAGACTGTAGTCCATCTGTTTCTCTGTATACTTTGTTAGCCCCCTTTTACCCTGTTCTTCAGTGGTCAGGACCCCCATGGACCCTCACAGAGCAGGTACTATAAGGGTGGTGGATCATTCTCAGCACTGCAGTAACACTGACGCGGTGGTGGTGTGTTAGTGTGTGTTGCGTTGGTCTGAGTGGATCAGACAGAGTTTTTTTTTTCATTTTTTTCAAAAAAAAACAGCTGCAGGTAAAATTTAGTTTAGTAAATGAGGAGAATCAGACAGTATGCTCTAATAACAACGCTCATCACCAAAACAAGATTTATGTCGATCACAAAAGAAGCCCTGCAAAGCATGCAATGGTGCTTATGGTAATATAGCATGATAGCATACGGTGCCGGCGTGAGTGTGTGTATGTTCGGAGGGGAGGGGGAATCTCCTCATTAAATAATACTCCAGAGACAAAGCAGTCTGAACACCTTGCCAAGCAAAAGCAGATAAAGAGCTGACCGCAGACAGCTTCCAGAAAACAGGAGCCCAGCAGGCAGGGCTAATAGTGATCTATTTGTTTGAGGAAGAACCATTTGTCCAAATTCAAACGTCACCCTAAACAGTCTGAGATTAATGAAGCACCAGCTGTCCATGTGTGCTGTCCACCAGGCTCCATTTTACCTCCTGGAATCACTGAGCATAACACAAATGCAGGTCATGAAAATTTGGTGTACAAAGCCTTTTATTCTGCCTTCATGGGGACTCTGAGGCTAACCCATAAATGTTACATTGGAATCATATTTTGTGGCATTTTACATTCCATTCATAAAGAACAACTGTAATCCTTTAGAATAGGAAAAAAGCACTAAAGTTGCTGCAAATTGTTTTCATTAGATTCATGTCCCTTCCACAACACAACGAGCAATAGAGAACAGGACGTGTAGGACAGCCATGACTTTTATTAAGTGACCCCAATCAGCCTGATGGTGGCGCAACAGTTCAAATTCAACTTTATTTTAAACCATGGCCTGAACAGTAAAAATTCTTTTTCTATACACAGGCTTATGCTGAACAGAAAGCCTCAAGGACCATGCACTCTGGATTTGAAGATGCATTGCATCTCACATTAAACATACTTTTGCAAACTACACTTAGGCATTTGGTATTTGCTTAAAAGTGGACTCAAAAAACAGGTAATTTTTCCTCTATAACTTCAAAAACATTTCAAAATTTGTAATACGGCTGCCATGTCTTAATCAAATGCTAAAAAATTATGGCTCTTTATGAATTTATGAATGATAGATCTGTCACTTGGCAAAGAACTGCTCATGTGAGTGAAAACGAGACTGAACTTACCGCCCATGTCACCCGCACGGAAGTGGAGCTAAGCACCACAGGGTTGTGCATGCTGACGATGACCTCACCCAGCTCCTTCTGCACCTGCCGGTGATCAATGCCCTGCACGGCTGGACTAATGTCTGAGACATGCAGAACAGCAGAGGCAAATATACTAATGAGCACTAATGAGCAGAAATAGAGTGCTTTGTGGAAACAAAATAAAAGGCAATAGTAAACAGTGTGTGTGGGTGAGCTCATAACTGGTAGTACTGGTAATGCTATTGAATATCACTCACACAGGATCCTTCAGTTACAGCTAAAGCAGTGCAGGATTTAAGCTAAAAAAAAGTAGTTCTGAGCAAATATCTATTATGTATGCATACACATGTACTGTACATACAGTCCAAAAGTGAGACCACACTGATTTTGTTGTTAATTTCCAGGTTCCTTTTAAAGGTTTAGAATTGTGAAAAGTTGTGATAAATTAAATGAAGAAATATTACTATTTTTCATTATTAGGTCACTACATAAATTTAAGCACATTTTTGCCACTGACGATGTTAAAGACTTTACACAAAAAGGTTAGATTTTTTTATGGCAACCATACCTGTTTGAGTGTAAACTGTCATTAAAGCAAAAGGAGGACATACCAAATACTGAAATTCACGTTAAAATTTCAACAATTCTACTTTTCACTCTAATTTTTATGCTGATGATATAATTTGTAAGGAATAACTTGGTTTACTGGAGAATTGGATTAGAAAGGAAAATGCAAAATAGAACCATTTTCACTAGTGGTCTCAGACTTTTGGACCCCACTGTGCATAAATATGTATACACTGATCTGATGTGTATTTGTATTAGTATATATTTGTATTTGTATATAGATTGTGCAGTGTTTACAAAAGTCTCTGTCCTGAATAAAGATATTATGACATTAAGCATATCTAAATCCCTCTCCTCTCCTGATGTCATTACCCTGAGTGCGGACGGGCTCAGACATAGGGCTGGGGTCTCCCACTCCCTGTGCATTCACTGCTCTGATGATGAAGACATAGACAGTGTTGGGGCGCAGGTCTTTGACCGTGTACTGCGTGTTCTTCACGTGGTCAGCTACAGTCTGCCAGCTATTGCTCACCAGCTGACTGCAAACATAGAGACAAAAATGTAATAACCTTACTGCTCTGAAAAAGATGTACAGAAATATCTTACATGGCTGCCTGAGGGAGAAGCTGTAAGGTTTTTATACTGACACTGTGTCCAGAAAGGCTGTTTGTATCAGCTCACTGTGAAATAGTCAGACAATTCGTACAAAACTGGACAGCAAAATAACGGCTCTCAGCAAGCTTTGCTGCTTCAGTAGAAGGGGCAATTGTTCTTGCCTCATGCATTCACAATGAAGGCTGTGTCTGATAGCTGTAACTACTGTATTCAACAGAAATGTCCTCCGTATCAATTATTAACAAGGCTTTTAACTATTAGAAAAGTGTTAGAACGTAACCCGTTAGTTAACCTTTAAATCTGAAGTTGAATTATTTCTCACTTGTAGGTAATTAAAAAGAGCAATTAGAAGTTATATTGAATGTACAACTGCTAGACTGTCAATGTATGCAAATTTGTGTACATAAGCAGAAAAAGAGAAATATTATGATTTGATGAAGTATTCTTGAATGCACAGTTCTGTTTTGTGTAAACATCCTTTATCTTTTTGCCAGGTTTCTTATTTATTGACATCAAAACAAACTGAAAAAAGTACAGACTAGAACCTGCTGATATAGAATGTAAATTGAAAGTAAATGTAATTCCTTGTGTAATGAAGTGTGTAATTAATCATATGATTGAGTAATTGCATCTAAACTGTACAGCAAAAATAATAACTCCCTTCTTCTAAGGGTTAAACCCTCTAATTTAGTGCTCTAAAGAGAGTGGACACCACCAGAAATGCCACTCTGCATCTTACAATTATTGAACTACATTAATACAAGATCCAGACCATATGTGGCTTGAAACATACACAGATAAAGCTATCAATCTGAAGTCTTTGAGATAAACAGACAAATGCTAAGCATATGTTTTCACCAGTCACATCCTAGCCTAGTCACATCGTATTTCATCTCATACCTTTTAACTTGAAAACAGCATCATGAGTTAAGTTACTTAGTCTGGTATCAAACGATAAATGCACCAGAGCGGAAAGTTTTATTCCATTAAATATATTACTTTTCTGCAGCACATATATGTGTTCTAGTTGCACTTCGAACTATTTGCTACTAGATGGTGCAGAATTTCTCCTTTGCTGTAGCCTTTAGCTGGCTAGTGGTCTGTCTATGCTTGCTTCATTTGACTAAACAGATAAGAAGCTCTGACCAAAACATAAAATGCAGGCTCTACACTGGAGTGGAGTGTAGAGTTCAGACATCTCATAGTTCTTACATGTAAAACATTAGAGAGAAGCTAATCTGCATATCAAAAATCTTAGTTTAGTATTCAGTTTTTACACATTAATGACTTCAATGATATTTGAAGATTCTGACTCATCTCTATCCTACACTGCAGTAGCAGTTTCAAGTCCTCAAAAGTAAGTTTTTTTCCTTGAGCAGTGTAAGTGCTCTAGCCAGCTGAATATTGACAAAACACAGTGAGCCAAAACACACGCTGGGAACCCACACTTAAGCATGGCACAGCCCCAGCGCTCTCTCCATAAATAAACCACTAAATCCATCACTGCTGGCTCTCGGCAGGGGCAACCCCAGTGCCCAGCTAAACGGCCACATCTGCGCTGTGTGCGTGAAGGGCACTGGGCAATGGGCACTGTGTCCAAGTCCGCAAGCCAAGTAGTGCAGTCTCACCCAAAGGCCTCGATGACATAGGAGGAAATAAGAGAGGCGTCCTCAGGCCCTGGACGCCATGACAACGACACACTGCTCTTGGTGACATCGGTGACCTCTGGCTTGGAGGGAGGCCCTGGGAGAGCAGTGGTATTGTGGGACACGGGGTCTATGAGCTCTGCTGACTCTGAGAGGAAGAACAGGAGAGCAGGCAGGCAGGGTTATAAGAAAGGTTCTAGGAAAGCTCACTAGTTATTCATGTTTTGATAAAGAAAAGATAAAGGAACCTCTAATGTCTAGGAAGGCACTCCACGAGGCCTCTCCACTGGAGCTTGTGGCCAAGCAGGTATACAGACCAGAGTCTGAGAGCTGGAGAAGAATATCAACAGACCAATAAGAGATGGACAAGATTTCATATACACTGCTGGACCAAGACATTTACATCTACATAAGATATTCGAAATGTACATAAGACAAATTAGTAGGCAATTTGAGAACATACTACTGCGATAAATTATGTTACTGTACACTTTTCTGAGTGCAATATGGGTATTATTGATCCACCAAAATGAAAATTCTTAGCCGAAACCAAAAATCAGGACACACTTGGCTGAAAACCAAAATAAGCTTTTGTATTTAACTTGCTGTTTTAAGTTTTTGAATGAACATACTAATCATGAAAACTACAAGGTAATGAAGTTGACAATAAATTAAAGATTACATTCAAATTCAGTGTACTCGACCACACAGAATGGCTGGTCATCCAAGACAATGATTTCCATTATTTTTAGTTATACTTTGTGCTTTGCCTCTATGAATTTTATCTCTAATGTGCTGTTGGGAATTTTCCTTTCTGCTTCTGCTTACGATACCTAACAATACACAATTATTGTGAAAAAGCTCTTACAAGTGAAGAAGAGGGGGATGTTGTGTTTTCAAGAGGTATCAAAACTGTTGTGGAAACGTTCTTTGGTGTTGTACCTCCTTCTGATACTCTGCATGAAAAGTGGTTAACAAAAAAATGTCCTTCGTAGAAACCATGAACTACCTTCACACAGCCATGCTGCCACTCAAACTGTTTGAATGCATCTGTGTTGACCACACAAAGGCAAAGTAAAACAAGTAGCACTTTACTCAATATTTCCCATTATTATTACCATTAAAATTACCATTAAGTGTTGGATTATGACAATTTGCTGCAGATCTAATATTTTGGGATTTTTGTTTGGCCTTTTTTCTCTTCATGTCATTTAAGCGGACAAAATTTTGATGCATCCCTAATGGGTATCATCACTACTTCTAGAACACTGAACAACTGCATGTATCATAAAAAGACAAATATTTAAATCAATTATAGAGAGCCTGTAAACAACAACAACCAGTGTATAGTAACTGCATAAACTGCATAGTAAATAAATACAATGACACATACTGTAACTTGATGGACTTTCTTGAAAAAAAAGTATTTAAAAATTTACCATACATATTCTTATATCAAAATTTATATCATTGACCGACCTGCTAAATCAATAGATGGTATTCACTCTAACAGTGACAGTCGTCTAGATACTCCAGTACAAACCACCCTTTCAATCATCGTAATCAACCACTGTAAGTTTCACCCTCCACTGAGAGATTACAGTGAAAATGCATTAACCTCTGATGGCCTCCATGAGGGAGTATTTGAGAAAAAGCGAGACAGGCGGAGTGAGAGTCTGACACCATGTGACTCGCCAAAGTGCTGACATTAATTTTATTAATAAATTGAATTAAGAACTCTGCACCAAGTCATCATCAACGCAACCACACTGATGTGGTGACATGATAGGCTACTTAGTGCTGATTGCTATAACAATGACACATAGCAACAACACTCTCTTTGTCTGTCTTTCTGCCTGTCTCTCTCTCTCATCCACTCTCCTCAGGGTATATCTCTGCCACTAGCTAAAGTCTTTCTTCTCCATGTTTGCCTCTGGTCTATTAATTCGATTCTGAGGTGAGTGATTTAAGTGAAATTGACATTCAAAGGGAGATAAGCATTCAGATAAGAGCTGTGTGGGCATTTCATATTCGCTTCAGAGAGATGTGGGTGTGTGTGCGCCTGTGTCTTTAATCCACCATAAAGAGCCGTCCTTGAGGAAGAGCCCAGGATCTGTCAGAGCTGAGCTAAAGAAGTCTCCTTAAATGGTAGCATTTAGCAATTTATTAAAAAATCAATATACTTTATTCATCTTTACGCCGAATGCACTTGTCCATCTAAATCATGCCTATCTGACATCAGATGTCACTCTGGGAGAAATATTCCCATCTTCCTTCCCCCCTCTTACCGTCTTGCTTTTCCCTTTCTTGCTCTCTATACAACACAATTGCCTGATGTGCTAAGCCTTTTGCATCAGTTTCAGGTGCAAATCGAATGCTTTCTGAATGCTTTCTGCATGTGTGTTTTGTACAAAACTGCAGTTTATGGGCTATGTGCACTGTAAAACCCCTCTTCCTTTTTAGGGCTGAACAATAAATCATTCTTTTATTGTTATCATGGATTTCTGCTATAAACACATCACTAAGTGTTGCAATGACAGAACAGATCAAATTACCTCACAGGCACTCAGCAATGAAATTAGGGAATATAGCTAACAAGGTTTGTCTGTGCTGGGCTTGAACCCTGCTCGTCCACTTAACCATTCAGCTAAACAGCCAATTACAAATCAACAACTTAAAAACTACTACATTCTGACTACTAGCTTGTAAAAACGTTTAAAATGTAATGACTACTCTCACTCTTATGTTGTGTGTAAAATGCAAAGACTGCATGGTAAAATGAAAAAAGCAGTAATGGCTACTGTCATGACACAAACCAATTGAGGAGCTTTTTTAAGAAATGAAATGTATATTGAGTCATTTTTGTAAGTCTATTAAAGTAAGTATACTAAAAAGAAAAAAATGTTTATTTGTGTTTATGGCCAGAAAAACCTGCTCAGGGAATCTTGACTGCTTTTAGACCGAAGCGCATTATAGGGCTCACTCACGTTTTGCTGGCTACAAATCAACCATAATTAAGCGTCATTAGCAGCCAAGTACCTTTTGATGCTTTATATAAGCAGAGCTTTATATCAGTGACAGTGCTTGTCCTTGTTCATCCTTACAGTGCACATAAATGTAATTGCAGTCTTAATAAATCACATGTTGGATTCATGCACATTTGGGTGCATATTGTGGTTGCATCAAGGCACATTTCATGCCATGCCTGCACTCGTATGCACATCTGGCTCTCAATATCACTCTCTCTTCCTCTTTAGATTCACATGAAACTAAATGCAATGTAAGCACATACAATTTTACTATATAGCAGTTATAAACCACAGAAGCAGACCTTAGTGTTCTTGATTTGCAGACTTCCTGGCTCCAGCAGGGACATGCGAGGCTCTTTACCCAGCAGACTCAGTCCATCCTTCAGCCAAGTGATGGTGGGTTCTGGGTCTCCAGACGCCCGACAGCCTAGAAGAGCTAGGCCACCTACACCCACCGTCTGATTGGTTGGGCCTTGCTGAATAATGGGTGGTGGGCGGTCTTTAAGAGCTGTTGAGCAGAAAGTAAAGACAATTACTAAATGTAAAGTGATGTAATTTCTTTTGATGTTTCAACTGACCTTGCAGGAGCGCACTTACTGCCAGCATTAGTAACATCTGTGATTGATGTGCTGTGAAATTTAGCACCTGTTTCTGTGGTCAGGCGTGCAGAAAAGCCACCTTTGATTGTGCGTGCTTATGGCACGCCATCGCACCTTGGAGCCCTAATTACAAGGTGTGGATTAAAAATATCTTGACTGAGAGGGTAATTAAAGTGCTTTTTTTCACTGCCCCTTTCAACGCATTCACACCCTCTCTCTTTTCTCAAACCAGAGACTTCAAGTTACTAAGGTGATTTTAGTAGGAGGTTTGACCCACATTTTTTTGGCATCTGTGCAAGCATTGTAGTATCTACTTTCCATGTGTTTTCTAGTAACAAAAACCAATGCACTGCTGTGTACTAAAGGACCAACGGGCCCACAAGCAGGGGTCTCAAACTCAAATTATCAGTTGAAAAAAAAATGAATTTGATTACATAACATAAACACTCACTTAAGCACATAACTCAATATTTATTAACAATTGTTCCGTCACCATAAACTACAACTATTACTACTACCACTAGTAGCAATAATAATAATAATAATAATACTAATAATAATAGTAGTAGTAGAAGTTATTATTATTATTGGCAGTAGTAGAAGTATTACAAATCCATAGTGCTTAATACATATTTTAGCCTTCTATTAAATCAAATAAACTTTTTGAACATTGAACTGTAGAATTATGTGGGATCTTATTGGGATAGCATTGATGTTACTGCTGAATGTGAGTGACATTATTGCAAGTAAAGTGTTGACAAAGTGGTTTATTCTGCATTCTCAATGGACTAATTTGATAATTCTTTTCATTCATTCTGTTCACTGTATATACTGCTGTGTCATGAATGAAGCTACAAAGGCAGATTTAACTATTTGTCTCAATTAGAATAATGGCTTTTAGTTAAAGCTAAATTATAATTATGTCTACTCAATGTGCAGCATTCATGCTGTGTCAAGTTTTTGCTTGAATGACTCCTTTTGCACACAGTGCTGTATTTTTGCTTATAACACTGTAAGTATCACCCTAAACTGTTTTTATATACAGATCATGTTAGGAGACCAGTCACAGTGTTTGGTGGGTGAAGTAAATCTACCCATGAGATGTAAACATTTAACCACAGAAAAAACAGAAAAAAATATTTGTGGGCCAGTGGGCTGGCTACATACAGTACAATGCAGAAATAAATACTGTTACTAATATATTGCTATATTGTTACTAAGACCATTCACTTTCTCCTTTGTCTCACTCACTGCTTCTCCCCTTCCCTCTCTCCTTTGCTTTCCTACTCTCCCTCCCTCCCTCCCTCGCTCATCCCCTTCCTCCCAATTGATATGCACAGTGATCCAGTATTCGCGCTTTGAGGGTAAAGCTCTCCTTCTGCGGAGAGGGCCTTGAGCAGATGTTAATTCAATAATGTCTATGAGAGCAGGCCAAGGCGGAATGAAAAGGAAGCAGAAAACGGCTCCCAACTGGCAGCGCCACAGCACTTAAGATAATGATACTCTTTGCGAGGAGAAGTGGGTGTAAATGTGTGTCTCTCCATCAGCGGCCCCAGTGTTACACTTTATGGGTTTCACTCTCTTTTCAGGCCATCCAAAGTCTTTTTTTACTTCTTTGAGCCCCACCTAAAGCAGCACGAGGATTTGTGAAGGATTGTTCTGAAGTTATTCAGCATCTGTGCAGTAAAGTGGGGTATAAAGCCATTAAAACTAGCATGAAATTGAATTTGCCACATGTTCTGTTCAATTTCCTGTTATTTATCTACAGATTTAATACATTTTTTGGATGGACCTATACAACAGTATTGTCCATCCAAATACTATGAGCTACTGACAGGAGATGCATTTTATTACAAAATTAGCCTATGTTTTAATTATGTCTGCTTTTTAGTACAGTTCTAAACTTTGGGTTTACCACAGGGAAGTTCAAAGTTGCTTGTTTAAACTACGCAGATGACGAATGTACATGCTTGTGTTGTTGTGATTCTAAGTACCACACTTTTAGTCAAGTTGTAGAGGTCTTAACTCAAGTAAGATGTGTTTGGGTAGGAAAATAAATAAACTCACCATCAGACACCTCCAGCTGGGCCTTGGCCAGGATGCTGCCGGCTACAGTGAGAGCCTGGCAGATGTAGTAACCTGCGTCCGAGCGTTGGACCGAGGTGATGGTCAGATCACCATTGGGCGCCACCAAAAAGCGGCTCCCTGCCTGAGGAGGCTGGTTCGGGAAAAGCAGATCCTGAGGGAAGTGAGAAATCAGCAACAGTCAGGCGTTGCTAAAAAGCCTGCAGAGGACAAAACAATCCAAGTGAAAACTGTATTGGAGACACTGTTACAAAAAAAAGTGTACATTTTTGGAATGTTCAGAAAAGGTCAACCGATATTAATGCTTCTTCCCAAAAATCTCAATATGCTGGTGTATAACAGCGAGAAGTCTGCTTGCTTTTCCACACATGAACTTGGTCATTCACCCCCAGCAGAAAGGGCAGCTCAGCGCAGCTTGCAGCGGGATCAGGGCTTGCTTCACGTGCGGAGGCTGGCTGGTAATTAACGCGTGAAGCAGGCAGTGATCAGCTGGCTACGGTGCCCTTTGGTGCAGGCCTCCACACTGAGCGAGGCTTCGCCGCCCACTCGTAGCCTTGAGATCTCTATCTCTCCTGCTTCTAATGAGATTTTCCTTCATTCAAAGTCCTCAAAGCTATCCGACTGAAGGGAGAGGAAGGACATTAGCCAGATTCAATTAGCCCTAATGACTCGAATACAGTAAATGAATAAATTTTCAGACGATAAATGACCCCCTCGAGTCAAGTGACAGAGGACTGATGACCACTTCATTAGTCTGAAGGTAAAATCAGACCACTGATGGAACATTTACACATCCATTCAGTGGATTAATTGGTTCATTGAGTGAAACACCTTGTTTTAGGCACCCAAAATGATTAAGGTGAGAACACTGTCAGCCACTCTGATTCACATGCACAGTAGAGCTTAAAATATCTGTCCAAACCCAACTGGACCTACTGACTATTCAAATTTCATGTTTGGGTTTCTCATAACCCGTTTCCCACTTTCAGGTCTGCATTTACAGCTGTTTTAGTTTTTATTTTATTATCTTAACCAAATCTAAATCACAATGCTGGAGTTTCTTGCATTGTCAGCAGTGAGGTCAACAGAGATCCATGAGCCCAGCACAAAGACAGTCAGAAAGTGCTACCTTTGACCATTTTAGGCCTACAGTGAAGCGCCAAAAAAGACTTCACAAATAATTTTACAACCCCAATTCCAAAAAGTTGGGATGCTGTGTAAAATATAAATAAATGTAAATAAAAACAAAATGCAATGATTTACAAATCTCATAGACCCATATTTTATTCACAATAGAACATAGAACACATATTAGATGTTGAAAGCGAGACATTTTACCATTTCATGAAAAACATTTAGACTCATTTAGAACTTGATGGCAGCAACACATCTCAAAAAAGTTGGGACAGGGGCAACAAAAGGCTCTAAAAGTAAGTGGTACTAATAAAAAACAGGTGAAGGAGCAATTTGCAACTAACTCACATGACTGGGTATAAAAAGAACAATTTAGAGAGACAGAGTCTCTCAGAAGCAAAGATGGGCAGAGGTTATTCAGGCTGTAGCAGAGTTTTTCAAATTGTGAGGCTCAATTAAAGCTCTGATGTACAGCTAATGTCTCAGTCCTGTGTATGATTATAGGAAAACACTGCACAAACACCTACACACAGCGCATTTCTTACATGAACACACAGCCATTACGGAGAGCACTGACCTGACTGCCCTCTCGCTGCCAGAACACGGTGGGCTGTGGATTTCCTTTGGTCTCGCATGGAAAGGTGGCAGTGCGTCCCTGCATCACAATCTGGTCCCGAGGTCGCACAACAAACTGGGGGGCCTCTGAGGTTAAAGGTCACATGTGCACCATTGCAAAAAGTGAGATACAGGAGGTTGCATCCTCGCCAAAAAGAATGCAGAAGCCTAGGTGTATTCGTGTTTAATGCAAAAGGTGTTGGTAAGCATGTGCTCCTAATTAACATGCAGAGGCTGGTGGTCTCGAAAAAGGTGCAGAACATGGTGTGTTTACTAATGGTTCATAATGTGAGGTGTAAAGTTCAGCATAAACACATCTGTACAGAGGAGCAGAATTTCAAAGAAGCATTTTATCATAGTGAATGATGGCCCTTTAGTGAATAAATGATTTTTCTGAAGCATTATTTTCCAAAGCTCTACTTTTTGGGATTTGTTCAAACAGCTT